AACAAAAGCCGTAATAATAGAAAGGGAATCCGGCGAAGCGCAAGTACAATGAAAATTTATTCGATTCAACTGCCAGCACCACCCACCGGTATTCACCCACTGGCCACTTGTGGGCCCATCCGCACCACCCACGCAATTCCCACTCTTTATATATATATATATATATATATCTGTACACATACATCTCTATGTCCGATGTCTGCTGAGCCCGGGTTTATCATTCTGATCACGTAACTTGTGTGTGCCACCAGCACTTTTTCATTTTCATTCACTTAGGCTGGCTTTTTTGCGGGGGAAGGGGAGGGAACAGGGGAAAGCGGGGAAAAGCGGGGAAACTCCGGGAGGTGTATGCTCTGCAAACTTATAGAGTCTCTTGCCCTATAATGAAATGATTTCTCTTGACGCTTCGTCGATTCGCGTGGGTTGTGATTTCTTGCTCTGGTTGCTCCGACTTCAAGCTTCGAAGCTTACGCTGAATCCAAAGCTATATCATCTGCCTCTGACTTTCGTTTTCCCTCGGTTGCGCATCATTAACCCACTGGCGACCAAAACGAACATCTGAACATCTGAGCAACTGACATTGAACTCACGAGTGTGCTTTTGTGAGTGTTTTCGGTTCAGAAAGTTGTAATTCAATTAAAGTTTAATTGGTCCGCGAGCAAGTGGCGTAACTTGGGCAATGAATATTTTATAAGATTTGAAAACCAAATTTCCAACAGATTTTGAGGGATGTCAATTCAGTGGTTTAAAATACATCTTTAAATTATTTAGATTTACTTAGGATTGCTCCATGTTTAAAAAAGGGGTAGATTTCTTAGAGAAAAACCATTTTATGAATTATTTCACAATAACTCATGTAATATTAAATGTTCAATTTATATTAAGTTTGCTTTACATTCAATAATTGAATATTCAATCATAAATTGCAGGTAAGTCCTCAGTTGCATACAATTAAATGTGCATTATGCTTTTAATTGGGAATAAAGTTACAATACACCATTGCAGGATCATTTCAGTTTAATACTCGATGGTGGTTTTGGTTTTGATTTCCGTTAAGTTTCCATTACATTTGCATTTAAATTTCTTTTCATTGCAGTGAAACATTACGGTCAAATTTAATATGTCTGAAAGCTGAACTGATTCTGATTAAAACATCACATTTTACACGATTTTTTAAAAAAGGATGAATACTCGACAGTAAACAATACAAAAAACTAAGCTATAAAAGCATCTCAAATAGCACTTTGTTGCTTGATTTTCTGTTTTACGAATTAATGAGACATAGAGTTTTTCTATTATCCTTTTGTACGTGGAGTTCAGATTAAATTGGAAATACAAGTCCTGCACCTGTTTAACCTCTTTATTATGCAAACTTGTGCTCTTCCTATTTTTCTTGATTACGTTGGCTTTGTCGGAACATTATTAATTTCAAGCCAGGAGATTACCAATCCGTGCATACGTTTTAGCCATCTTTTTTAGGCGAGACTTGCAGTCAGTTTTTTTTTTTTTTTGGGGGGGCAGGGGCAACACGCAACGTGGAAAATGTTAATAAATGGTGAGGGGGTTTGTTGCCAAAGCTGTCGACAGAGCAGTTTGCACCTGCCGGTGCTTCGACCTCTGCCGCCTTTGTTAGCCGTGCCGCATGCCACATGCCACACGCAATCTAATTTAGCTGGCGAAATACGTGCTAAGCGTGGAAATGGTTAAGCGGAAAAATGGAAAAGCGCGAAAATGGGGCCATGCCACGCCCATTCGAGTGGCCTGAAGGGGTTATTTCACGCAGCGGTTATAATTCGACTAATGCTCCGAATGCTGTCTAATCGGATAAAGGTGGCTTTAAGGGAGCCACCCGAATATATCGTCCGGGGGGCCGGGAGGAAACTCGTGTCACTGTTCGCCGATGAATTTCCATGCCAAGGGGTGCAGCTCAAAGCAATTATTTCGAGGACCGGAGCTCCTTGCCGGGATTTATGCTCGTTATACCGTCAGTCAGTCGGTCTATATGGCCAAGACTTCTTTGCAAACGGCCCTCTGTGCATCTTCAAGCTGCATTCTCCGGTTGAATTATTCATGCCTTTTGTCGCTTCTTCATGTTGTTGTTGTTGTTGTTTCACATGCCTGGCGGGAAAGCGAGTCCTGGCTCAAGGGTTGCTGCATCCTTGAGGGTTGACTATGGCAACAGGCAGGACCTCCCACCTCCCAACAACCCCTCCTTCTACACCCACGCCCCTGGTCCTCAACTACCCCCTTTTCTCACAAAACGGGCGGAACGTCTTTGGCTTTGTGCATTTCTCAGTTTCTCATGCACTGGGAAGAGGACTTAGGAGTTCTGGATTTTTAGTTAAGGTTAGAAGAATTTTATATCAAATAAACAATAAAAGAAATTACAGTAACATGTAAATCACATTTTTTAATACCTGCAGCTTACTCTATATGCTGTATAACCTTTTTATAATAAGAATTCAATTAAACTAACTTGATTAAGCCCCCATAGAAAAATATTTTTACTGCTTTTTGTTCATGCATTTTTAATGCAAAAAATAAAAAATCTACCTGCCTAATGGAAATCGAAATAATTAAACTTCAATTTGTGCTAAATAAATAGGACCACCTATTTTTCAAGCCTAGTTTAAACCTAAAAAAGCTTTTCCCAGATAAGCAGTTTTTTTTTGTTTCCTATTTCAATCAAGTTTGAGGATTATAAACCTATGCTACACAAAAGAAAAAGTACGCATAAAAACCTTTCAATTTAATGACAAGTTTTTAGGGTATTTAGATTTTTTTGCTGTGTAAATACGTAATCCGCCTCCAGGAAAGCCCATTGTAGCTGTTGCTCGCTGGCAAATCCGAAAGCAATTTCTGCAGCATTAATCATCCCCCCGAAAACCCCGCAACCCCCGAGGGCAACTGACTCGCTTATCTGCCGTCCGGCCATTTCGGGTTAATGTTGACAAAACGCATTTTAAGCACTTCAGCATTCGCCACGTTGAATTTTCTATTGTTTAGCCGACAGTGGACACTTTTTACCCACTTCACTCCCACTACACTCGACTTTCCTCCACACACGAGCCTGACTGTTTTGACTCTGATTTCTGTTTTCAGCTGGCTGAATTTGCATTGGAAATGTGTGCAGGACGAATCATCCTATCACATCCTGGCCCAAAAGGCTGCAAACCTTTTCCCAGCCCGAGTGCAAGTGGCCAGCAGCAGCTTTTGTCCAATGGTCACTCCATCACCAGCATTGTTTATTCAAACCCCACCCTTTCGAACTCCACATTTGCACAAAACCCCAAGGCAAAGAGCTTCTGTTTTCCCTGCGTGTGTGCCTAACCTTTTGAAAAGGTTTCTTTATGGCCCAGAACGAGGGCATATAATCGAAATCTGGGGGGGAGTGGCTGCGCAAATTGGAACTGACTACATTGACTGGATTTCAAAAATTAAGGGACGCACAAGGCTCGCAGCAGAAAGTGTCCGGATGAATCCTTTGCTAACAGGCATTTCCAATTAAAACTAATCTAATTTGTTAAGACAATAGCCCACAGTAGAGGCAAATGTTTCAATTAGCAATAAAGAAAACTGGCAAACTGGAGTGGAAATTTCGAATATGGAAAATTTATATTGTTGTTCTTTTTTACAGTTTTCCAGGGAGCCCAAAATAAAGTTTATTTTGCCTTAACCGATCGATGCGAAAAGTGCACTCAAAGTGCTAAATCGTTTGTAGATAAAACTTTGAAAGTAAACTGAAAGTATTTACCGAGGGAATACATTTAAGTTAAAGTTAATAAGATTTGGCCTTTTCAACTTGGTTTTTGAAGTATTTAAAACAATTTTCTATGGCTCTTCGTTTATTTCTGTTAAACAGAGTGTTTAAATCTAACCATAATAAGCGCGCTTTTCGATCTATGTAGACTCCAATCCAATTAAAATTTTATCTCATTTAAAAAATTCCAATTCACAGCTTCCTAATCAAATTACTCGCCCAAATTCAACCACTAATTGCTCAAATTATTTGGAGTAATTTCCTAATTTGTATTCTCTGCTGACTGGGATAGTTGGCCGCCATTCATTTCAGTCAGCGGCAATGGAGCCCGGCCAATTAATATTCATTTGAGCCGAACTTCCCCTCAGCACTTTCCCATCTGGATGGGAAAATCCTTTATTTAGCGAGCAACTTTTCGCGCTTGTTTTTCTTTTGCGTTTCGTGCTTTTTTCTGAGTTCAGTTTTCGTTTTTTTCGGACGCGAGTTTTTGTTATTCCCCAGTTAGCTGTTGACGTTGTTTCTCCAGCTGCAAATGCACGACAAATTAACACAGAAAGAGACAGCGAGGCACCGCCAGAAAGAGAGGGGTAGAACAAAGAGGAAACAAAAACTCAAACGAAACGCCGTATCCTTCTAACAAAAAAGAAAAAAAAACAAAAAGAATGGGTGGGGGAAAAGCCACGCCCGCGGCTTGGCCGCAAAAAATATTGAAAAAGTGGGAAAATGCGGAAAACTAAAACTCTGTCACTTGGTGCTCTGTGAGATTTGTTTTAGCAACAAAAAGTGTGGTCTTGGGAAGAAAGAGTTTATTCAAGCAGCATAAACCTGAATTACACAAAGCGAAATGTACTAACTTTTTGTTGTCAAGGGATATAAAAACCAAGCAAGTTTAACCATTAAAAGATTTTGTAAAACCAGAAATTAAATATTATAATCCAGCTACAATTACAATATAAAAGTTGAAGATAACGAGTAGATAAAATATTAAAGTTGTAAATGCCCTTAAAATGTTTTTGTATTTTTAAGTTTTGACAAGTGGTTATAGCAATTATATTATTTTCAAATTAAAAATTTTGGAAAATAAATACAAAACACACTAATTTGATTAAAATGTTTTTAATAACAACTTATCATTATAATCCGTATTAGTTTTATGACGAAGTCTTTAAAAATATTTGAGCTTTTAAACATAGAGAATATATTATGCCAATTTCGAGCAGTGGACCCATCCTCTCCTCACCTTTTCTTTTATGTGAGGCTCAACGCTCAGTGGTCCATGTTTTTATTGGATTTTCCTCTTGTTTTCTTTTTCTATTTTCGTGAGATTTTCGCACCACAGAAACACTGAACCGACACACTTGGGTTAAATATTTTTTCTTTCTTTCGGCAATTTGCGTTTTGTATTTTATGGGCTTTTAGCTAGCAACCCCCGTCTGCACTCCACTTGAAAGCACTACGCTGCACGCCACTAAACGCTAAACTACACTATGCTACGCGACTACGATGGAATGGCAGACCGTTAGTCGAGCTAGCGTTTCCCGTTATTCGGTACCGTACTCGAGAGCTTCTTTCGTTGAACTGGCGAAAAAAAAACACAACTCACACGCACACATCAAGATGAAAATTCACAAATGAACTTTGCTAGTTTTTACAGCAAGGTGAGCCGAGCTTTAATGGCCGCTCTCTCTCTCTCGCTGTCAACCTCTTTTTCTCTCCGGTTTCTTCTCCCTCTCTTTCTTACCACTTTTGGCAAAACAGCCGGCGCAACAAAAACGCAACGCCAACGCAACAGCGCCGCCGGCCGAGAGCTTCCCACCCAAAAATGGCAAAAACAAAGCGGAAAGTCGGCGGCCATGGCCAACCCCCTTGGGCGTTCGATTCTCTCACTTGCTCTTTCCCTCTGCTGCTCTCTCTCTTTCGCTCTCCTGCGCATGCTCCAAAGCTGAGCTTCAAAGCTCTCCGGGTACTTCAGGGGTGGATCGCGTGGGGGTTGGGTTGTTAATGCTGAATTCATTTACAGGGGTCGCTCCGAAATGGGTTTGTGTTACAGAATCCGCAGATCAACAACGTAATTGTTAAAAAATTGTTTACAGGATTTGCAGACCTAAAAGGCAAACAAAACGGTGTTTGAAAAGACGTTAATAATATTTACAATAAGCAGCATGTTTTGCTTAAGTATACACCAACATAATAATTATTATTCAAGATTAATATTAATATATTTTATTTGGATTGGTTTAATTCTAATAGTTTTTTTTCTTAAGTAATCTTTAATAAGTTATATTATTCCAATTGCATTAAAAAAGCAAAAAGCTTTCCTGAATTTGACAATAATAAAGTTTTCTTGTTGTTTTCGCATTAAACTTTTTAGTTTACAAATATTGAAGGCCCAACCTTCGAGAATTCACTGTAAAAGAATATGGTCTTAGGGGTGGGCACTCCCAGCATCGAGTGGGTTGTTTTCATGAGCTGTCGCATTGCTGCCGTTCTGCTCGTTCGTAATTGTTGTTGCTGCTGCTGTTGAATGTGCATTTTGTTGAATGTGCAATGGGTTTCCTCCTGCCGCTGTTATTGTTGCTACAACTGCTACTGCTGAAAATTGCCTCGCAGCATTTAAGGCGAATTATGAAAGTCTGAATGTGGGTGCGTTCCTCGCCCAGCGCCCCGAAAAAACCCTCCCCTTTTTCCCACTTTCCCCCGCCGGGCAGCACAAACTTAGGGAAAATGCGCTCGAGGGACCTGGAAAACGCCTGCATTTTAATTAATATTGATTGTAAGTTATTTTGTGTGGGGGGACAGCAGGTGTGGTTTTAATTTAGTTTTCGAAATGTGTTTTTGCGCGGGCGGCACGACAAACAAGCACATAACCCGGTTACCAGTGTTCAGATAAATGTTTGCCCATTACAGGGTACACAAAGTCAGCAAGACCGGCACCACAAAGCGTTATCATGCAAATTGATGGGGGCGAGGTGCTGGATGGCTGCCAAAATTTGCATTTCAATTCGACAGTCGCCATCCCCTTTTGCTCCACCGAACCCTTCTGTTTACCTTGCTCGAACAGCTCCGCTTTATTTTTTCAACTCAGCTTTAAGTGTGATTCAGTGTTGCGCTCGACAGCGCGGCAAAATGTGCACGTGCTGCACCAGCCGCAAGGCATTTCACCCGGGGTGAAAGTGGAAAAGTGTGGGGGAAGAAAGGGGCGAAAGGTCCTGTCCGGTCCTGCTCGAGTTGAAAAATGCCCAAAAGGAGTTCTACTCGAATTGGAATTCAACGATTATTGATATGACATGGTACTTTCACACATTTCTGCCAATCAAGCGAAATAGAGGCAAGCATGTTCCTTTGAATGAGACATTGATACAAGCTTGAGTAAGCTCTCAATTGAAAATAAAAAGTTCGAGAAATAACATATGTTAACAGTTTTAAATACATATATGTATATTTTTTTTTTTTTTTTAAACAACACTTATTTAGCAAACATTACAAGTCCCCCAGAAGTGCCTCATAAGTTACACCCGTGTATACAAATATTTTTTTTAAATCACAGTAAGGCGTCTTTAAAAAATATTTCACTAAGCACTTTGTTTTATCATAATAAATCCTTAATTCGCTCGGATTTTTGTTCTATATTTCGATCGATATGTTTGTATTTTTCCATTTCAAAATTATCATTATATAAATAACAAATTAAAAAAATAAACATTCTTTTCTTAAACTTTTATTTATTAGAACTTGAATAATTTTCATCCGTTCCAACAAAATGAAACGGAAATACCGTTCATTCCACATTTTTGGCGCGAATTCAAATCAGCTGTTGGGCTCGCTGGTCACTTGTTAATTACGCAACCCTGCACGATACGAACAATTTTCCCTGGTACGACGATGGTATCGCCAAAAGAAGTCAAAACACTGATAGTTCGATAACCATTTATCGCACTCATCTGCCATCCCTAACGGCACGCACTAAAGTTTTTTCGTACTTGTTTGGTTAAATTTTATTATCACCTTTTGGCCAGAAAAGTTAAGCAATGGGCAAACGGCGGACGCAATCCCTAATAGACTCCAATTCCAGCGATAGCGACAGTGAGTCGGAGACCAACTTGGAATCGGTGAGTAAAGATATATAAAGTCAAATCCTGGTCCGCGCCCCTTTCTCTGAATTGCGATGTAACGAAAATCAATGCGGATATGTGACTAAGATATTTTATTTATATATATATTTATAAATTATGCCCAGGATCTGATGTCGCTGGCCAAAAAGCGAAAGAAGCCCCAGACGGCGGCGAAGGCGAGTTCCCGCTCCGATTCCGACTCCGACTGGGCCAAAAACAAAGCTGGAGCCCCCGCCTCCAAGAAGAAGAAGCGCCAGAAGGCCAGTCGAGATTCTAGTTCTTCGGAGTCCAACTGGGACGACGACAGCCAAGATGAGGCGCAACCAGCGGGGCCGACACCTGCGCAAGCTCAGGTGGCACATAAATCCCCAGAGCAAGCTACGCAAGCAGCGCAACTCAGCGAACAAGAAGAGGGCGAGGTTTCCGACAGCGATTCCGACAAGTCCAAGTCAAACTCATCCTCTTCCGGCTCCGATTCCTCTAGCTCTTCGTCCTCCAGCTCCGATTCAGAGTTCGATGACGGCTTCGATGATGACCTCATGGGCGACGACGAGGATCGAAGGCGTCTGAATGGCCTTTCCGAAAAGGAGCGTGAAACAGAGATTTACAAACGAATTGAGCAGCGTGAAATCATGCGCACTCGATGGGAAATCGAACGAAAACTCAAGTTAGCTAGGCGGGGGGAAAAGAACCAAGAAAGGTCGAAGAACAAAGGCGAACGGGCAAAGAAGAAGAAGGAGAAGCGTGAGAAGAAAGCGAAGAAGGCCCGAGAACAACAGGCGCCTCCGCCACCTCAGGCATCCACAATTGCTCCATTGGTTGCGGAGCCCAAACCCATTGGAGAAGTGAGGTCCGCGAGTCCCTTGATTTCGCCCGCTATCAGCAGAGATGTGGCATCCACTTCTGCGGCGGTGGCCAGTATTCTGCCCGATGATCAGGCAGCTGCCGCTGGCGTCTCTGATTACTTCGATCACAAGGAGCGATCCAAGGAGCGCAAAAAGAACGTGGAGGCCAACAAGACGGACGACAAGAGGAGCAATGCCATGGCCTTGCTAAAAGCCAAACGAGAAGGCAAAGCTAAGAGGGGTAAGTTAATAAGCTTTTATACACATTGCAGTATGGTTTTAATACTTTTACTATTCTAATCTCCTTGCAGAGGAAGAGGAAGCCAAACGCCTGGCTGAAAAAGATCGTGATGACGACAAGGAGGAATTAGAAAGCGTTTCTGGCTGCAAATCAGCCGTGAAACTGAAAGCCTCTGAGATCTATTCAGACGACTCGGGCAGCAGCGATTGGGATGAAGATGAGAAGCCCACGGGCAAGCGTTCGCGCTCGAACAGCAGCAAGGCCTCCAGTGAATCCGAGGAGGAGGGGAAGGTGCCCCAGAGACCCGTTTTCATAACCACGCGCGAGGATCTAAACAAGCTGCGCCTCTCGCGACACAAAATGGAACGTTTTGTGAACTTGCCAATATTCGAGAGCACCGTACTGAACTGCTTTGTGCGGATCAGCATCGGAAACAACGGACAGAAGCCCGTGTACTGGGTGGCGGAGATTGTGGGCGTGGTGGAGACGGGAAAGATCTACAGCCTGGGTACCACGCGTACAAATCGCGGATTGCGGCTCAAGCACGGCATCCTGGAGCGAGTGTTCCGTCTGGAGTTCATTTCAAACCAGGAGTTCACCGAGAGCGAGTTCAATAAGTGGACCCAAGTGTGCCAGCAGAATCACATTCAAATGCCCACAATAGACTTAATCGCGACCAAACAAAACGACATCAAGAAGGCGCTGAACTACGAGTTCAAGGACGAGGACGTGGACAAGATTGTCGAGGAGAAGAACCGTTTCCGCAACCGACCCACCAACTATGCGATGAAGAAGACTTGCCTAATGAAGGAGCGCGATGCGGCCATGCTGCGTGGCGATTACGACATTGCTCAGGATCTGGGACAGCAGATCGACGAACTGGAGAACCGTGCCTCAGAGCTGGACAAAAGGAGATCGCATACCCTTAATTTGATTTCCTACATTAACGATCGGAACAGGAAGAAGAACGTGGAGGATGCGGAGAAGGCAATTTTGGAGGAAGCCCGCGCCAATAAGGGTCTCAAGATCTCCGATCCCTTTACGCGCCGAATCACTCAACCACGCATGGGCTTCAAGGGTGTCAAGAAGGACGATGATGACATGCAGCTGGCGCCTCTGCCACCTCCACCGCCTGGGAAGAAGCGACCCAGCGAAGCGGGTTCCTCGAGCTCCAGCGCCAAGCCCACGGACTCCAAGGACTACAGCCTTTACTCATTGCATGACTTTGACATCGACTTGGATGTGCCGTTGCCAGGTGAGCTTTTGAACCTTGTATTAGCCAGAAATAGTTTTATAACCACCTGTCTTGTTTCCATTTTCAGTAAGTACGAATTCAGTGCCCAAACCGGCCAGCAAACCAGCCGAAACCGTCTCCAAGCGTTCGTTGAACCTGGAGGATTACAAGAAGAAGCGCGGCCTCATTTAGAAAATAAATCTGATGGACTATATATATTGACAAAGCCTCACGTTTACGTCCTAGTTTAGTGTAGTGCCCAAATGACTACAGCAAACGTTTGTTAATGCTATGACTACGACCCCAACTAATGGAGATATAAGGCGACGATCCGTTCGGCTTATAGTTACAGTTCACAATTGTATTTAAGTTGACACAGTAAGATTGAATTAGGTCAGGCATCAATGTTGAATATCCTAATCGCGATGACGTTCCCCGTTTGTGTTTGTTTGGTATCAATATTATGATTCAGTTTATAGAGAAATTATACAGACAGCACAACAAACAGCAGCAGCAATATCGAACATTTAAAATTCTTATGCAAGTAAGGGACTCATTAAATAATATTTATAGATTGATAGAGCGCTACTGTAATTTTTTAGGATATAAGTTGAAAATTGTATTACGAAAAAAGGTAAACCCCAAACGAGCCCAGCCCAATTTTTTCTCGATGAGATGTTCAATAAATTAAACTAAATGATAATATAATTTATACAGAATTAGTTTACAGCGAAAACTTAATTGTTTACTCAGGCATATGGCAAGTGTTAAAAAAGAGATTCCAGGGACAAATATGAAACAGGCTGATTAAATGGGAAATTAACGAACACACATTCAAACGAGCATGTATCCGTTGGTTGTAAGCGTTCAGTGCTGTACTAGCTTTAGGCGAAATTCATCAATTGTAGCAACACAGCATCCATATACTTAATTATACACATATAAATAATAATTATTTATAATAAAGAAAAGACTTTAAATTGTTCTGAGTTTTAACTTTAATGGTTTTGGATAATGTGGGGATGATGAACACTTTATAGTTGTAAAGAATGCATAAAATATTGGTAGCTTGAAATGTTTTTTCATAAGTAATATTACTATCTTTCAAACTATTACTGAGTTCTTTTATCTCCTTTAAAAACACATTATTTGCTTGGCGCCAACTTGAACGTAAATTAAAAAGTAAACTAAAGATGGCCATTCTCAACTGAATCGTTTCCTTGGCTTAGGTTAAGTTCGCGTCAGTTGTATCTTTTTAATTGGTTTGCTGCCTGTTTGCGCAGCTGGCTGACTCCTTTCATGTTCTCACCAAATTAATTCAATTAATTCGATGAAATTGTCTTTTAATTGAAAGTGATCGCGTTTCGCGATGTTTTGTCAGAGAGAAAACATTTCTGAAAGAATATCTGAAAGAATTTAAGGCATTTAATATTTCAGTTATGGAGAAATCTTGATTATACTCTGCTGCAAAACACATAGGCTGCTAATTTGAAATAAACTTGGATTGATTGTTCTATAATGCACTTCCGCTTGAATATTTTTTCAAAGTTTGTTCCTTCTTTCTTTTTGGGAACCTCGCAGTACCGAACATATTGTTCCCAAATGGTGAATGCGACTGATCCGATCACAATGATGACGCCGTGGATGGGGGAGCCATTGTGGCACAATGACATTTTATCTCGGAATATGCAACAGCAGCACGTTCTCTGAAGCGGAGAGTGTAGTAGATCAGCGGCGGAATCTCGATTCTGAATCCGAAAACTACCGATGCGTGGCCCATGCAAATGTTCTTGCAGGTCGTCGTCGGTGTGGGTGCATCCCACAGATACTTATATATCTTGCATTGTTGCACGCAAAAAAATGGATTGAATTTATATCAAATTGATATTAGTATTTCATATTATAAAGTATTGTTCCAAGAACTGTAACTTAATTAAGAAATATTAAATATAGCAAATTAAAACCGATTTATTTAAAATAAAGTTGTAAACTTAAAAATGTTCGATTTCTACAAAAATAATCTATTTTTCATAAAAAAATCAATTGGAATTTTGTTCATTTTCTATAGCTTAGTACCAAAGCTCAGAGTACAAATCCTTTAATCGAATTAGTTTTTAAATTTCCAGTAAAAAATAATACAATATAATAACTACCTTATAGTAGATTTCATATTGAAATGCTGGTATATGTGGTTGAGAACATTATGTAACATCATGATTAAACCTTCAGTTTTTCTTTCCGTGTACCCATGTGGGAGAAATCCCCTTGGCGGCGACTAATCAACCGGCATCGGCTTGCCTTATACACAAGTGCTATATGCTGTCCGGCAACGGTTTCTTCATCGTCGCCCCGAACTCGGGCTTCTTCCAGCGTCCACCCCTCCGAGCTCCACTGTACATGTGTGTACAGTACAGTGTGTGCGAGTGAGGGGACACTGACAGCGGCTTCAGCATCGGACAGCTCAAGCGATCAGTTCAAAGTTGACTTCGTCGCGGACCAGAGCGGATCGTTCTAATTCCGACACGCGACCGTGAATTATAGAATTATCAAATCACAGCTTGAATTTATTTAAAATTTAAAAGCTAATAAAAAGTGAAAATAAAATGCAGAACCATAAGTGCTTAATTCTAAGGTGTTTATTTGTGGGTTTGATCTTTAGCAAAGTTAAAGCCGAGTTGGATTTTACCAACGATCTTGAGAACAGCCAAAAGTTCAAAAGCTTACCGACCACAGTGAAAACCTATGAAAATGACACGGTCCAGCTGCCTTGCACCTTAAATAGTAAGTGATTAATTCATTAAATCAAATAAGGTACAAGTCTTATTGCATTTTGTGGTCATTTTTGAGGATTAGACCCGCTTTTGGGGCCTTGAAACGGCCACCAGCAGCAATTGGCCATAACAATGAGATTTAATTCGATTTATGAAATGAATGCACAATGGAGCAAATGAAGGTATTATCCGACAATAATAGAGTCCGTGGGGAGAAAGTCCAGAAACGGATTCTATTAATTGAGCGCTTAACACACTTAGAGTCGCCCTCAAGTCTCTGGGGAAGAACCCTCCCGAGACATATTGTTAACGGTCCAATTAAAGATTTATTGACAGACCAGATTAGGTTATGAAAGGGTTCACAAGATTACAGAAAAGTTAAACAAATTGAATTTACAAGAAACCCAATACAAAAATTTTGTCGCCACCATTTGTTGCACTTACACATTTTCATGCGATATTCAAGTTACTCGATTTTTTAAACGACTTTTATTTTTAATTCATCAAATTCATATAAATAGAATATAAATCATATATATTTTTTTTAATGTTCGACCGTATTTGTTTTTTGTGTTAAGAGAAAAAGTTAAGATCAACTTATGAGTTTAAAATCCAAAGAAATCTTAATGTTAAAACTCTCACATCGTTCAAGAAATCAAAAAATTTTAACGTTTACTTAAATAACAATATTTTGACTCTTCAATGAATAATTACCAAATACATACTCCAATTATATACTTATAATTTTCATACATTTTAAAATTTTTGAACTTAATCAATGAATAATTGAATATTAAATACAAAACAATAACAAATTTTATTCGCTTTATGTGCCTAAAATTTAATAAGAGATCGCTTCAGTTTTGTAACATATTTGTATGCAAATCTTTAATATTGATCTCCTTCAGCTCCCTTCCTCTACGTCCGTTGGAATCGAGATGATGTGGCTCTGGTGGATTCCAGACACCCGGATGTTCCGAAGCTGGATCGCATAATGCTCTGGCCAAATGGCAGTCTGCAGGTGGCCAACGTGCAGTCCAGTGACACCGGCGACTACTACTGTGAGATGTACTCGGACTCGGGTCATGTGGTCCAGCAGCACGCCATTGAAGTACAGTTGGCTCCTCAGGTGCTGATCGAGCCCTCGGATCTCACGGAGCAGAGGATTGGAGCCACCTTCGAGGTGGCCTGCGAGGCCCAAGGAGTTCCTCAGCCGGTAATCACCTGGCGGATGAACGGAAAAGTCCTGCATCCGCAATCCAGCACGGGCAATCGGCAGAGTCTGCTCCTGGAGGTCAAGTCGAGGAACCAGGCGGGACTCATTGAATGTGTGGCCAGCAATGGAGTGGGTGAGACGGCGGTGGCCAGCGTGTATCTCCATGTGCTGTGTGAGTTAACAACTGTGAATAAATAAATATTAAAAATTCTCAATGAACTGCATAAGTATTTTAATAAGAAAAACAAGTTTCAATTCTTTATATTTCCAATAAAATAAATAATTAACAATTAACAAATTCAAGACACATTTTTAATCTATGTATTATGTTATTCAGTTTAAATTAGCCCACGTTCCGTTTTCTCCATTTATACATATTTAAAAGCTGAAAAAACATACGTTTATTTATTCTCAATTGTCTGAAATTCGTCCTATATTTATTCTATAAAATTGTTTAAATATATAAACCAACATACTTTCTTACATTCAAAACCCAAAGAACTCATTTATTATTTATTTGTTGGCCATATATTGTTTACTCTTGAGAAGAAATCGATTTTCCAAATATTAAATAAGCTTTTGCTATTTTAACATAGCCAATGTGTTAAATGATCAAAAGCCAAACTTTAATTTTTCCTTCAATCAGTTTTAATGTCTTGCGTTTACTTTTTAAATTGTTTATGTGACCTAACACACAAATTAGAGATTTCAGATAAGGCCATTACCAATTTGAAGCAACTAATTGACTTCTCCGCACTCCGCAGTTTCGCCGGAGGTGAGCATTCCCCAGCCGGTGGTGTACACCAAACTGGGCTCCCGGGCCCATCTGGAGTGCATTGTGGAGGCGGCACCGGCGGCCACCGTGAAGTGGTTCCACCACGGAGTGCCCGTTGCCCTGGGCGCCCACTCCACCAGTCACGAGTCGGAGTTGCAGGCCAATCGATCGGTGGACCATTACGTCAACGCTGTGCGCCACATGTTGGTGGTGAAGAGTGTCCGGAACGCGGACATGGGGCAGTATGAGTGCCGCGCCAGCAACCGGATAATGAGCAAGAGTGGCAACGTGGAGCTGACCGGCCGCCCGATGCCCTGCATCTTCAAGATCAACCCGGGCACCCAGAGCTCCACCTCGCATGTCCTCGTCTGGCAGACCGAGAGCCTCCTGCCTATCATGGAATTCAAACTGAAGTTCCGGCAGATTCCTTCGAATAATGCCACACGGCAGATTAGAACTAACTGGACGGAGCTCACGATCCCGGCACAGGCCACCAATGGTAAGGATATTAGAATTACCTGAATTGTAAAAAGTTGTTATAAAATTTAAGTTATGTTATTATAGTAGAAAAACAAAATTTCGATTAAAAGCTTTATTTTATTTTACTTTCCTTTATGATAATCGAGTATAAAAAACAAAATTTTATTCAATTTGAAGCTTTTCTTTAAATATTTATCTTATTATAACCACCTTATTATTTCATTCCAAACTAAAAAGAAAAACAGAATGAAAAAAAATTAGAAACACTATTCAAGAACTTAACCTATCTAATTTTCATCATTTATTTTGTATAGTGCACCTTATTATTCAGTACATTCGTCGATTCGTTCAATTGTAATTAATTTAATGGTTTCTAAATTTGCATGCCACCTTTTCGAATAATGAGTAAATTGTTTCTTGTGAAGAAACCGCAAGGCCGCATAAAAACGGTTTGAACTAAATATACAATGACTTCAATTCCTTATAAATAGAATCAATTAAAACAAACAAAACACTGATCATATAAATTAAAATAAATTTGTTTCACAAATGAATGATGTAACAAAAACCTAGACTCAATATTATTTTCTTTATTATTTAACCGCAGGACTTATTTATATAACAACTTACACACTACATGGTCTTCAGCCCGCCAGTCTTTATGAAGTTTCTGTATTGGCCAGAAACAGTTTTGGGTGGAGCGACAATAGCAAGATCGTTCGATTTGCAACAGGTGGAGAAGGTATACTGAAATAACAATTTCATAAATAATTTAATAATTAATAATTTAATTCCTTACACCATCCTTTGCAGTTGAGTTACCAAATTACTCGACAGAATCGGAACTTCAGGATGATTTTACCGAGGAGGACTTCCACAATGAAATCACTCAAAGATCAGAGGTTCTATCGGTCAGCATGATGTATAATTCGAGTTCAATGAATGGATGTGGAACAAGAGCCTTAATATATTCCATAGTTTTAATAAAAATATTTCTCCTATTGAGTTAGGTTCCCCAATAAATTAAACCGATTTTGTACTGAATTTGATTTATATGCAATAGCAAATACAACACATTGAATCCGTAAACAAAAATGCCTGAGGTCATAATGATTCACAAGAAAGAAAAATCTGTTGAATCAACTTCCGCAAAAGTAATACGATAAGATTTTTCGGAAAAGACTCACGGTAGGCTGATATAAAATGGAGGCTTATCTGTGACTATGAGGCTATATTTAACTACGGATTAATAAGGTGGATATATAAGAAATATACCTTTATTGATAACGTAACGGCAGTACAAGAAAAAAAACTCATATCAGAAATTGACAGTAAATAAGTTATCAAAAAGTTTTTCACTTTTAGTCCAATTGTTATATTTCTGTGATTTAAAACAAAAATGCTGATACCAAAGCCTAAACAAACTAAAATCGATTAATTAAAATCTCAAGCAAACTTTAATGTTTGATCAGTTTATGAACTTGAAATTAATTAAAGTTGTCAAGTAAATTTAAGCGGCCACCAGTGCGTATGCGTGATTGCTTTGTTTATTTCTGAAACCGAATACTTTAATTAGAATCTAAATGTTTCGCTCAAATCTATAAGCCTTGTTAAACATATTTCAGGGTATTTCTGCAGTATAGGGCTTCTTTGAACTTCAATTGGCAGTGACACTGCGGGAAGCTAACGCATCTTTGTGGCCCAGAGACCATCAACGTATCTCTCTCCAAGTCCCTGCTGCCTGCAATCTTGAGCAGGGAGAAAATGGACTGTTATCGAGAGGCAGCAATGCGATACAGAGCGGGAGACTACACACACATACATACAAACACATATTTACAGAGAGAGTATTTTTTTTACTCAGGGCCCGGCGTTCGCATTCCGTCGTTTCTGTTGGCTTTTGGCTTCAGTTTTAGTCTTATTGGAGACAGCATCGCGTTCGGTTGTCCACGAAGCCCCAGCGCTGAAAAAAAGGTCTCCACACTTATCTCCAACCCAGCGACCCACTCCCCCGTAAAACCCTAGGCTTAAAGCAATAACCGACAGCTGTAAACGGTTTCCATTCGACCTGGCTAACAACCGCACAAAAAAAAAAACAAAAAAACAAAACGTGTGTTTTTAATCGGTTAAAATGGCGTGCGGGCGAAAGCGTTTGCCAGCGCAAGTGTTAAACGTAATTTCGTACGAAAATCGTGTTGAAAAACAAAAGAAAAGAAGAGGAAACCACTTTTGTAACGCTTCAGCTTCAACTTCAGCCGAAATTCATCTCGCGTCGGTATCTGGGGACGAAGCAGCTAAAAAAAAAAAAAAACAGAAACCAGTTTTCCTCCTCTAGGCTCTCTTTGGTCAAAATAAATACGAAACAAAATAACAATCTCGAACGCACTCCGCATCCATATTCTGTAACTTCTGACCCTGAGCTGCCGAACTTTAATGGCATTTTGTGTCTTCGGCTTTGGGCCAAAAGGGCGGGCGATGATTCATAATGATGGCTACGAGAAACATGGTCAGCAGATGTGCTCCACATCTTCACTTTTAGCCCAACTCCTTTGCGCGTCCATTTGGCAGGTTTTCAAATTCGGTTTCAGTTGCAATTCTTCGGTCGCTTCGCCTCTTTCTTCGCTGGCAGAATCTTCGCTGCACATTCTATAAATATATGTAGAAATATGTAAAATAGCCGTCGTTGTGCCGGCAACAAAAATACACGAAAACAACACAAGAAATGGCAACGAAAAAATGGTCAAATGAAAGGGGAAATACAAGAGGAAAGCGTTTAGGAGCAGGAAAAAGCGGAAAACGGGAACTATTTTGAACCAGATGCTGTAAGGGAAATGGAAAATGGGAAATAGGAAAAGGGAGGTGCAAACAAAAAAAAAAACTTGTTTTTATTTACAGTAGGCAAAAACTGTGAGGAAAACAACAGAAAAGTTTTCAATTCCATTTGTGAACCCCCCAAAAAAAAAGCATTCTACGGATAGAAGACAGCTGCACTTTTAACTCCCCCCAAAAACTTCCCAACACAAGTGCACCGATTGTGTGCGCCTGTGTGTGTTAACTTAGAGCGCAATGTAAATAAACAAAGCGCCAAAGACAAAAACAACAACAATCGAGGCATTGATTTAAAGATAACCCAGCAACAGACGCAAGAGGAAGAAAACCAAACTAACAAAAAAGTTGCATTCACCAAACCGAAGTTTTTGTACCCTTGGTCTTATGGAAGTTTACTTCTTTTTTTTGGTAAAAAAAATTTGTTAACGTCAGTATTTCAAAGTTTAATTGACTATCAAAACATGGTAACAATTAAATAAAATTTAACAATTAGTATTTGCAAACAGAAAATATTATTTTTATTATGTTATTACTAACAAAAGATATTTTATTTATTAGGAAAAGTTTTTTTTAAAAAAGTTTTTATATAATGAATGCTTAAGAATATAGATATTTATATCATCCTCTGCACTGGTAACCAAAAAGAAAACAACCCAGTTTGCACCTTCTCTTCTCCTTTGATTTTATAATTGATAAACAGAGGGGCGGTAAATTGAGTTTGGTGATAGTGAGAGGGGCTTTCGTTGACGTATGTAGGTGTCAACGACTGTTAGTACCGACTTAGTACACACACGTACCTGGTCGTTTGGTCGTATATCTGAGGTGTCGTCCATTCATTTGACACCATATGACACCCCATAATAAAGTGGCTGGGAAAAGTCTGTCGCACAAGCAAGTGTGGAAATTGCCGCTCGTTAGGCAGCTTTTGTTCTGGGATGCCAAGTGAGGCAGGAAAAGCAGGGAAATTCAGAGTGCAAATACAAATAAAGGAAGAAACAAGGAAAACACTTTAAATTTACCGGCAATCAGCGAAGTAGTTTGTCCTTTTATGGAACTGGCCTGTACTTTTATTTTGATTCCAGACTTATTTAGTTAGTTTAGTTTTTAAGCAAACTACACAAAAAAAACTATTTAACTTTATCTTAACATAAATGTTATATAGCATAGCACAAAATTGATTCAATGATGCATTCGGATTTACAGATGTATTTAAACTACAGTCAGTAATTTTTACATAGTTGTTTTCGTCATCATTTTTTTAGATTCATAAATGTTTTATTAGCTTTTCGCTTGTTAATTAATGCTAATTTTATTTCACAACCAAATAGTTGTGATTATGTGTGAAATCAAAAAACCAATCCTTCTGTTGGAAGAGAATCACTTAGTCGAATGTTTACCAAGTAAATATTGCCAAATTGTCGAATATTTTTGCAAATGCATCAGCGGTGGATTATGATCATCAGCCATTGCAAAATTGTTTGTTTATGAGTTGAGCACATAAACAAATATGCGAACCATTTATGTGCGTATGCAGATTTTTGTTTGTTTGTATGGGTGAGCTATGCCGCCATTTGCAAACGGCTTTGATATCCACAGGCCGAATTTTGTATTTTGCGTTTGTATACTTTTTTCCTATATCGGCTTTTCGTGCTGTACATTTTTTCGCATTTGCACATTAATTTATTTATATGCATAACATTTGCATGCTATTCGACTTGGCACACCCTGACCTAACAGAACCCCCCAAAAGCCCCCACTTCGACCCAGTTTACTGCCCGCCTGGCATTGATTCAGTCCCAAAAGAGAAATGTACAGTCAAACTTCCTTAAGTTTTGCTTATTGAATCAATACACAACGAATTTGAGTAGATCTGACGATATAAATAGATCGTGTAGCAAAAAGTTTTGAATATTTAGGTTTGAAATATGCAAGTTATCAATTTATAATAGTTATGATAAAAACCATTAAAAAAAACATTAAAATTTATACAAATAAATAAACACGAATTGTATCAATTTCATACAAAAAATCATTAGTGTGTGAAACGAACTATTCGTTGAATTATTTCCTGTCACGGTCTAGGTCAAATAATTTTCCAAAAAAAAAAAAACAACTTAACATCTAATCTCCAATGCTTATCAATTACTTAAATATTAAAAAAAATTGGGTTTTTTCTCTGATGAAAGGACTATGCAAATAACAAACTTAAATATACTGATAGTTAGCAAGAATAGTACCATAGGAGTCAATACTGTACTTTGGGAGAGAGGGACGTGAGCTGCAAATTAGTCAGCTGCAAACAGCAGCGGCAGCAGCAAAAATAAGCAAATGGCGATTTTTCGCATAGAGATCATAATATCTTTAAGATACAAACTATCGGCGGAGAGCAAATTGCGACAAGATACAACTCACGGCTTGCATAACGCGGCCAAGCGAGTGAGCAATATTTACAGATCCGACGAATGTTTTTATTTTACCCGAAGACCCGCGTTGCAATATGTTTTAGCGAAAAAATTCGTTTGTAGTGCCCGGTTTTCCTTGCATTTTGTCCATGCCAATTAGAAGTTTCCGGTCCGCGGCGCGACTCGCATTCAAAACCAACAAAATAATCAAAAAGCGAAATTAAGAAATCATAAAAAAAAAAAAAAAAAATAAATTGTAAACGTTTTTTGGCGGTCTTTGCGGCCCCCGATCGGGAGTAATATAATGGCTCCAACCAATTAATTGAGTACCAACCAAACATATTAATTGCAGTTAACGACCTACCTCCGACAGCTCCGAACCAAACTAAAACTAAAACAACAAACCGATAAACAAAATCAAATCAGCGAATGCCAATCATAATGATCAGAGCGAGAGACTCAACCTGGCTGTTTCTCATTTGTCTGTTAATTGGACAATTCTACGGTAAGTCAAGGACTCACTCAGCTGAATGGTATATGGTCTATAAAAACAGAGAACTAATTCGAACAAACACGATCTGATTGCCACCAAAGTGCTTTTTATCGGGAGCTTCGAAATGGGGGAATTCGGGGAAAATCTGGCCGTTGAAAGTTGGAGAGAGAGTTGTAATGAATGTGTAATATTTTTTATGACTACTTGTAAAGATAAGATGGGAAGATTTGAAAGTGCATCAGAAGAAGCAGTCTTACGATTCTCCATAAAACTTTACATTTGAAATTGGGTTAAGCTGTGCTTTGTGGTTTAATTATGGTCGATGGAAACATGATGTCAATAAAATTCTATTTCGTTCTGAAAATAAACTTTATTTACTCTTTTAATTAAAGAAATTAAAGAGGTTTGCAAAACAATCTTTTTGATTGTTAAAGGGTAACCTTGAATATATTTTTTAATTAAAAAACTTTGATAAGGCGCATTAATCATTCCATTGTGTTGTATTTAAATACTGCATGGCCTATAAGTAAATTTCTTTATATTTATTGAATATTTTAATGTACAACCATAATCTGCATTTACATAATCTTCTTAAGTTCTGGGATATCAGCTAGATCACTTAAACGTGGATGAGATGTCAATGAGTTGACTTCGCTTGCGGTTCAATGAGTTTTACGTAAGCTTCCACGTATTATGAATTACCGAATATCGGCCAGAAATAAGTATGAGCAAAGGTAGCCTAGATATGAAACTCTCACGTAATGGAACCCATACGACCGAGAAAGCTCTAGATACGCTCGGCTACGTCGACTTCGAGTAAATAGGTGTGAGCCACGTGCGTGTTGCCCTATCTTTTGCGTAAATTGAACGCACACTGGGCCAAAATGTAGGTGCCCAAGGGAATAACAAGCATATCTTATCGCCGGGAGAGCGGCAAACACTTATCTCGCTTTTGGAATTATGGCGCAAATTGCTGATAACCAGTCAACATTCCATTTCACGTACCTTTTGCCGTTGGCTTGAAAGTTCGAAAATATGTTTGTATAAAAGAAAAAGCAAGAGTAGAAACGGTAAAGGTAGTTAACTTAGGCAACCAGAAGTTAATATGCCCTTTTAATTAAAGCAGAAATTGGTTTTCTTTGGGAACTTTAAGATATATTTGAAATATACAAGTCAAACGAATTCTGAATGAATAATACTGGGTAAAAAACAGATGCTTAGATTCAGTGAATGGAAAATAAATAACAAAATGTGGGTAAAGTTTCATTTAAAAACCTTTTAAACAGCCCAGAAACACACAAAAAAATCTAGATAAAAATGTATTCCGTTGAGGAAATTAGCTTGCAAACTTTTTTATGATCATGTGAAACGCCTCCAGAATTTCAATTTAAGATGTCCCAGGGGCAAAAGCCATATTGTGTTTTCCAAATTATATCTATATATATGCGCTTTAAATTAAACAAATTTTTTATCCAATTTTAGCTATGAGATAAGAAAGCGTCCGTTCAATTAAAAAAACCTCTAAAATGCACACACATGTGGGGAATTTTTGAAGCTTTAACAAACAAAAATATTTGTTTGTCTGTCTAAAATTCTTTTATAATTTTCGGTTGCAGAACTGAAGTTGATAAAGACTTGGCCCTAATAGGAATTATGTTTATTTATCCAGAACACAAGGTCCCCGCGGCACTCATTCAAATATTTAGTGTTCCCAGAATTTGCAACTGAGTGTTTGCATTTACATACCCATGCTTGACTGATTTTTCGGAGGTTTTATTCGGTATTTTCCAGCTAAACGATCAAATTACACACACAACGCGAAAGCATCGTTCGTTTTCCAAAAATAAAATTGGCATAATAAATCAATGATTTGATCAATCAATACGCTCTATAAAGAATGCGTAGTCCAACCCATTGGTTCTAAAAAGGCAGGAAGTCAATTTATTTCAATTTAAATTTTCATTGGTTTTTCGGCAGCTGTTTTATTTTGTGTTTCTATGTAAATTCAGGGAATGATATTATGCATACTGTGAAAAATGGGTATCCATGTACAAAAAACTTAAATTGGGTTGCGAAAAACTTTTAAGGCATTTTTATTAGATTTTTTTATTTTCTAATGTTTTAAGAGAGTTTTTAAAATATTTTTCTGAAGCCCTATTACTTACAATTTATATATAAATAATATAAATTAGTGTACAAATTTTTTCATAAACATGTTTTTCTATTCATGTAGAACTTGCAGCCAAAATTTTGCTTAACAATAAAAAAATATCATATTTTAAGTTTAGAAAAATTATGTACTTTTTAAGTGATCTTTCCTGTGAGTACATTTTATTTAGATATTGCTTAATTTACACAAACCAAATATTGGGCAATTGACCTGTCAAGACTCCCTTCCCAAAAAAGAAAAAAATAAAACAACTTCTCTGACAGTTGATTTCACCCAGTTCTGGGCACTTTTACGACCCCCGTCACAATTTGACTTTTGGATTTTTGTGCAATTAGGATTGGCAAGCTGCTTGTATTTTCCATCGTTTATTTTTATACATTTCATTGAGTCATGAGTTCTGTTTACTTCTTGACCTCATAACTCATCCGCGTCTATATTCCATCCCGCCATATGTAGGACATTAAAATCAAAGCAAAAATGTGATCATGGAATGGCAATCACACAGTTTTCCATCGCAACTCTTGAACTGAATCTTGAATGGGAGTTATCAATGGTCGGGCGAGACTACAGACCTGTCCGACCTTCCTGATACGACTGGAGTATTACTATAAGTATATATGACTGGCGCCTAGTACCAGAAAAGCTCGTAAATGAGGCTTACATACTAAACACAGAAAAATATTTACTTGAAATCTAGGACAAAGTAATGAACCAATTTAATTGCGAGCCCATAAAAGAATAATATTGTATGTCAAATTTTACAACATTACAGTTTATTAAAATTATTTGTTAAAAATTAAATAATAACATTCAATATTTTTGTTTTAAATTGTTTTCCTTGTACTATTTGGTTTTTTTTTAATGCAGGGACTTGATTTATTGTCATTCCTAAAATTATTATTACGTACTAAAAAGTTGCGCATTATAATTTTTGTTCTAAACTGAAAACAAAAGATTCATTATTAGAAATCAGAAATTGGTATATAATTTCAAAGTATTAAGACCAGACAACCTTGTCAGTCTCCACAAATATTTAAACATGACTTCATATCCTATGGATAAAACTAATAGCTATCCAAAATTAAATTTGTTTTAAAATAAAGATTTTAAATATATTATAATTTTAAATTTTATTTTAATATTAAAGTTGCTTGTAGATTACTTTAAACTATTTAGCCCACACAGCCTTGCCAGTTGTCCTAGAAATTCGACCACGACTTCATATCCCCTAGATAAAACTAAAAGCTATGCAAAATTATATTTGTTTCAAAACAATGAATAGAAGAAACTGCGCTGAAGTTACTTTGTAGATTTCTTTAAAGCATTTAGCCCACGCAACCTTGCCAGTTTCCCCAGATATCCGAACATGACTTCATATCCCCGGGAATGCAAACTCATCAAAGTTGGCCAAGGGACTTGAGTGGATTGCGACAAATTCCCGTCGACGTTCCAATGCCAATGCAGGCCACAAATGGCCATTGTGTGTAGCATTGAACTCGAGTTGCGGGGACAAAGGAGTGGAAGGACGACAGAGTCTGGATGAGAAAGAGAGTGGCGCCGCGACATCCTGTCGCCATTGTTCCACTTAGAAATATTGCACTGGGAGTCGGAGGACATCGTCATCCATACGGATGAACTTAGTCTGAGTGGTTGGTTTGGTTGTTTGGATGGTTCGTTGTTTGGTTGTTGATGTTACTAGGGGAGCTGTTTTTTATTTGCAACCCCCACCGACCGACTCATCGATCCAAGGACAACGTTCGCCCAGGGGGCCAAATGACGCATGTGGCCAAGTCCTTTAGAGCCAAAGCCAACCCGAAAGCCAACCCTCTCCGCCTTTCCAGCTGACTTTTTGGCGCTGACCTACTTGCAGACAACAATTGCGTGGAGTCCGTTCTCTCTGGATGCCTCGACGTATCCACGGTGTATCCGTGGGCCATAACCTTGACACAGGCCCAGAATATTGCAGTTGTTGGCCAGCTTTCCCAGTCATCAAACCGAAACCAGATCGGTGAAGGTCCCCAGCTGCTTTTGGCCAGTTGTTTTGTCTCGGAAGAAAAAAAAGAGATATATATTTTTCCATCAATGTGGCTGAGACCATAAAAGGGGCGTCTGACTGCATGGCTTTTTTTTTGTTTTGTATTTAAGCGGATATAAGGAGAGGCCATTGGATAAGATAACTGGCTTCGTCTTTGGATCGAGTGTCTACCTTAAAGAGCTTTTATCGGCCATTGATAACGAGTTTTAGCCGACTTGCGTAATCCCGACAATATCCATCATAACCTTATGAGCCCGGCCATGATGAAGTTGGTCATGACTCATGAGTCACTCGGCTATTAGCCGTTAGATGACAAGTCAGTTACAGGCCGCATATGGCCAACAAATTGTTATGGCTAATACATGCGAAAAGTGCGGTTGGAAAACATTACTCACACAATTTGCATAAATTCGTACCTTTCAATCTGGAGGAGTCATAATTCAAATAGAGAAAGCCATGAAGATTTCCAAACCGAAGTTCTTTGACGGTACTTTACCTGCTTTTATGGCCTGCGGTAATTTACCCAGGGCTTTAGATATATCTTTTTGTATCTGACATGTTTGCCCACGGATTTATCGCTCAGACGATAGCCAAAATTTTCCAAAGCATGTTCTTGGTACTCTTATAAGATGTAGATATTAAAATAAAAATAAAGTTACTCTTTACTTGCAGTGACTAAAAGTAAACAGTGATACTGATCAACTCTGAGTATTAAGTATCTGCAAGTTTGCTCTGCGATATCTCCCCCAAGTTCCTGTTGGAAACTCATTTCCGCTTTTAGAACTCCGCTCTCATGAACGAGTTCTTTGTGCGACCCCTTGATTGGAAGCAGAAGTTGCTCCGAATGCTTCGCGATTTTTATCGGTTCCAATTAAGTCTGGATCCACTTATCAAACAAAACAGTGACTCACCGATGCACCTTGCCCACAGAAAAATAATGATGTCACATTTATATTCATAGTAAAAAAAGGGCGTATAAAACACTTATCAATCATTTGAATTGCTTGCAAAAGTTGAATATAAATTAGGGTTTATTACAGAATTAAAATAATAATGATTTCTTTCCACCTAAATTTGATTCGTAATAATGAAATTTTTTTATTTTTCCAGTGCATTGTAATGGAACTCCCGTAGAAACGCAAGACACGGATTATCAGGACGATGACTACGAATATGGTGATGATGGTGTAGAGGAATTACCAGCAATTGATGTTATAGGCGATGTGGATCAAGCTTTAGCACCGCCATATTTTGAGCAGACTGATATAAGGATCGAGGCAAAACCTGGTCAAGATGTGGTCCTCAACTGCGATGCCAGGAACTTCCAGTGTAAGTAACTCCAAATGGATTATGCTTTGGATAAGTAATTCAACTTCCGAGATCCCAACAGTGAGCAATGCGGTGATGTGGTACAAGGGAGACACAATCATCGCCAATGGACAGAGTCCGATTAGCCAGCGAGTGGAGGGCATGCGGAACAACTCGATCCTCCTGAGGAACGTGACGCCGGAGGACGCGGGCGAGTACCGCTGCGAGATCCTTCCTCAGAGGGTTCAACAACGTACCGCATTGCGGGTGGGCGCCCGGCTGTCGATCCTCTGCGACGATCGCGATATCACGGACCGATCGCAGACGTTCAGGCAGGGCGACCACCACAAGCTCGAGTGCCGAACCTATCTGAGCACCAACGCCACCATCAAGTGGTCCTTTAATGTATGTTTACTTTCCTTTTCATCTATCATACTTCGTTATTGCTATCTTTATCATAGTTCCTGTTTATGCGATGCCGCGAATTCATGAAATTAATTTGACACATGTACGAGAAGGGTCACACTATTCGCTGACAGGTCACACTTTTTGTTATAATGATCAAACAAGCAGAAGAAGTCCATTTACTCAGTAAAATCTATGAACAATATTTATTTTAAATAAGTCAAACATATTAGCTCATGTTTCTCCGTTAATTTTTGTCATGTTTTTATTTTTATTTATTATTTTTATTTTTAAATGATTGCATGAAACGGGTATCGCATAAACTCAATTATCAACCTCCACTCATCTCCTCTTCCTGGGATCCTTCCATGTCTCCTCACGAATTCTTTACAGGATCTGAGTGGACAGCCCGCCCCCGTTGACAATCAGAACGGTGTGATTGTGCTGGACAATGTGGACGAAAAGGATGCTGGAGACTACCAGTGTTTAGCCGACGACGGCAGTCGTCATCCTCCCCATGGAACAGTGCACATTGAAGTACAGTACAGCCCCAGTGTGTCCACCCATCGACACAATGTGAACACGGAGAGTGGCGCCACCGCTGAGCTGTACTGCAACTACCGGGCCAAGCCAATTGGCAGGAGCTACTTCGTCAAGGATGGTCAAACTCTGCAGATTTCGGAGAAGTACTCCCTCAAGGATTCGGTGCACCATGGCCACAATCGCACCACGCTGATTGTGAGGGAAGTCACGGAAAGCGATCTCGGGGAGTACCTCTGCCAGGTGGAGAACGCCATCGGGTCCAACGAGGTGAGGATCCACGTCAGTTACCTTCCGGAGACTCCTCAGTTCGAGGACATGTCCATCGAGGGCAACAAGGTCACGCTGCACTGGCTTGTAAGGAGTCGACAGCCCCTCTCCGAGGCCATGCTGGATTACCAGTTGAATGGGGTAAGTTATCGTAGTACTCTGAAGTTGGGAGGTTAACTGGGGAGTGATATTTTCCTTAAGTATTCAAAATGACTGCTGTTTGTCAGTTTTAAATTCAGTAAACTAACTTAAGAACAATTAAGATCCAATTCCGAATATTTCTTGTCATTTAAAGCCTCCTAAAAGTATGCAACTTAACAATGTCTTATTGTCCTGTAATACATCCTAGATTTAACCCTGAACCCCTTAGTTATACTCTTTTCTTTATTTAACTGTGATCATATCTTATTCAGCCACATAATCAAATATATTTATTTTGCAATTTTAGTCCTATTACTGGAGCACTGTTTCCGTGCTGCAGACGCACCGTCACAACAGCACCGAGAGCATGTGGAAGATCACCCACCAGCTGGAGTTGAGCAGCGGCATGTGGCACGCTCGTGTGAAGACGAAGAACATCCACGGATGGTCCCACTTCTCCGCAGATCACACCTTCGAGATCCGCGATGGATTCCCCTCCGACAAGGAAGATGGTTAGTAAACTTCTAGCTGAATTGTAAGAGTTTCCTCTAAGCGATGTTTATGATTTTCAGATGAGGATCAGACTGGCGCCGCGGAACTTCCTCCCGATGAGATCGTGCAGGCTGGAATTGGACCAGTGACCCGCGGAGGTGCGTCAGCCATCCGGCAGCTGAATCTTGGAGTGATCCTCCTGCTGGCAGCCCTCCTGCTGCGAATCCGCCTCTAAGGGGTGCCATTTAATCAGAATCGAGATGTGTACATACGTATTTCCGGCTAGGAAACGCACATAGGAAACCGAAACTAAGTATTCTAAATATACAATGCTAATTCGCGACCGCTAGCTTGGGTCAATGTTAATGTTAATGCTATAGAAACCGCTGAAGCGATCACCACTGAAACATTTGTGCCAAGCAAGGAAAGAACGTTTAGGAACGGAGGATTAAAGTTAATTTAGTTTAGTTACAAATTAATGGAGCGACATTGGAGCAGCGAGGATCGGTTTCAAACCGAACAAAAAATTTACACTTTGATTAACCTTAGCTATAATATTTATTTGTTTTATTTTGTGTGCATGTGAAAGTTGGCACTTGAGGAAAGGAAAGAAGGAAATCCGAACCGAAAACGAATACAAATTAGGGTCATCGCAAGGGGAAGAATTCCGAAATATTAAACTAAAGTATAGAAATTCGTTGTTAAATCCACAAACAAAATCATTTTATTCCCACGCGATGACGTAGAGTAGAAAGCGAAGAAATGGGTGAGGATCTAGTGACTTTTTAGGATTTGCAATACCATATTTTTGTATATCCAAGCGTACTTACGAACTGCAACAGAATCAGAGGGGCAGTGGGCGGGACTTATCGAAGGGCACGCTATTTATTTTATAAACTAGACCAAAGCTTAGACATACATATGTGTACCTACCACACCATACATATGATACTTATTTTTACGGAACTACGCCACATCAACTAAATGGAACAGATTGAAGGGAAACGATTCAAAACATATACAAATCAAAAGCTAGGACTTGTGTGTACCTAAGAGATATTGAACAAATCAAAGAGAGTACTATATATATATATACGAGTATATATTGCGTAATGTTTGGCTTCACTTTTTGTCTTTGATCCTGCTACAATACCTGAGGAATATCGCCATAACATGCTGACCGTTCGTATGTGTAATCCAATTGTGAGGGTAGGAATATATTTTATATGTATTTTATTTAAGAATCATAACATTAAAGCTGATCAATAAACGTGCCAATCGAAGCAATCAACCGAACATTGATTGCTCGCTAAATCAAATCAAATCAAATGAAAACGACACAAAAGTAAAAGTTCCACAAACAAAGTTTTGACGAGGACCTGATTTCGAAAGCCGACCTTTAAGCATATACACATATACACAGAATATATAAAAAGAGGAATACTTAAAGCCAGTGTCTTACATGAATATTGTAATTTTCGTTGAGTCCATGATAAGTAAGCAAATAAAAACTAAAAACCAAACGGTGAGAATCTCTATCTCTATTTTCCTGGAGGTAACAAGCAATCATGCTTATGGCTTAGTATACTTTGGTTCCTTTTTTATTTAATAAATAAAGTTGATTTCGTGTGTCTTTACAAAATACAAAAATTTACAATCAACAAAGACTTCAAATGCTCAATTCCTGTGAGAAGTGTGGAGAGTGTAGAGGGTATTGGCAGTGATCCCCGCCAGCGTAATACTAAACTAAGCTAATGTTTTCCCATCCCGAGGAGCAATATGATCGATCCCAGGAGCGTACAGCCCAGAAAACTGCTCCTCGATCCCGCCGCCGAGGTGGAGCTCTCCGGTGCAATGGCATCCAGGGAATGTTCGGCAATGATCACCTTCGTAATGGCCACGGACTCGGAGGGCAGAATCTTGCAGACATAAGTGCCGGCCACCTGGGGACTCGCCTTCAAAATGGTCAGATCGTAGTTGGAGTCCAGTTTGAAGTTCGGCTGGATCAAGCTCTTGCCATTGGAGATCACATTCGATCCGAAGAGCCACAGAATTACGTTATTAGTGTTTTGCACTGAAAGAATATGTGGTTTTAAATGGGGTTTCCTGAGGTTAGTTTATTAGAATACTCACGGTTGTCGCCCAAACCGCACTTGAGCACCACATCCTCTCCTATAATTCCAGTCACCGTCAGGGTTTTGTTGACCTTTACAGTGGATGCTGGTAGCGAGGACTTCGTCTGTGGACTGGGAGCACTCTGGTCCTCAACTCCATAATCGAAGTCATCATCGTTCATCATCTGATCATCGTCCGCTGTGGATTGCGGGTAGGAAAGCACTAAAATAAAGAAAAATTGAGGTAGTTATTAGGAGATAATACAATTTAAAATTTTTTGTCTCTTGCTTTAAACAAAGCTTCTCATTTTCTTATATACGAACGATTATCATTTTCATTTTGTAAACAATGTAGGAAATATCTAAAAAAAAAAATTTATTAGATGTTGATTTATAATTTATAATTTATATAAATTATGTAAACCCTCTTATACAAAAATAGCACTTCAAAAAGATATGCAATATTTTTCTTTTAATGATTTCTGTTTGAAGGCAACCAAAATGTAAAATGTATTATCCAAACAATAAAAAAATAAATTCCTCGTTTTTCGCTGCAATTCAATGACCTATAAATCGACTGTTTTATATGGTAGCTTTAATAGATCGTCTGTAATTATAGATCATTGGATTGTTTATAACGGTTCCCTGCGGGAGGTCACATCAGCCACCACATTTAGTCGGTGAGTTAATTAAAGGAAATTAAATGGAAATTGAAACCAACGCAGACTGCTTCTGCTGCTGCTGCTTTTCTTGTTGTTTTTGTTGTTTTGGCAGTGTGCATTAGGCCATCATAACGCCTGTGTTTGTATTTGTCTTTATCATTTTCGCAGCTCAAATTCATCAGGGGGTTCCCAAAGGGGCGGGGGTGTCGAGGGGACAGCTGCACCGATGATGGGTTATATTAAAGGCTGGCGATTTGCCATTCACGGTTTCCTTTCGGTTTTCGTTCCCCTACATAATTACCAACAAACGAACAGTGGCGTACGAGGGGTTTTAAGAATATTTACGAGTATAGTTACACAGAAAAATTGTTTATGGTTGTTCAAATAAATTAATACAAAAATTAAACATTATAAAGAATTTAATTGGATTATACCAAAGGATAATGTATCATATTATATTATGCATATATGTACATATCATATTATAATTATAATTTTTGTTGGTTTTTATGTTGTCAACAGTAAATGTTGTTTCCACATTATTAGCACAATATTTAAATATAGATCCACCAAAATTTCAAAATAAGAACCACTATGATCTATAACCCCCTGGAGGAAATCCTTCGTACGCCACTGTTCGGTGCATGTGTACAAACACATTTGGTGGAAAACATTTCGTTGAAATGGGGTCACATGAAAAACGAAAATTAAAATAAGCGAGTGGAAAGAGAAAACAACAGTGCCTAACCCAACACTCCCCCATTGCAATCGCTCTTCCCCTTCCCCTCCTTCTCTCCCCTCTTCCTCCACCCAATCCCCTCCCCCTTTTGGGCGATCGGCGCACCCACATGTGACGTGCTGACGGGAAGCCAAAAACAACTACAACCAACGGCCAAAAGAACGGCAGCATTATTGAGCCACTTTTTGTTTTTCTTTTTTTTCGGTGGTGTCGCCGATGGACACACTGAATTCAAAGCATTTCACAACAATGTCCATTTTCATAGTGCCAACTGCAACACGCACACACCAACAAATAAAAATACACCTGGCAAAAAATTTAAAGAAAAGGTGGATTACTAATGATTAAATTTCATTCAATTCAATTAAAATTTTCCAAAATAACTTAACTTAACTTATATTCAGGTAAAAAAAAAACGCCACCAAACAAAATCTTAAAACAATTGATTCAATATCAAAACTTCTTATGTAGATATTTAATATTTTAAAATTTGTATTTTTAATATTTTTGAAAAATATCTAGTTTTGTGTTTTGTGATAACATACTCTTTCAAACCAGAAAAAATTGTATTAACCCCAAAACTTTCTAGTAATCAGTTCATATGCATGTATATGAAGTTTAAAAAAAAAGGTACAAAAATTCGTATAGGTATTATATCCTTTATTATATTATTACATACTTAACAATTTAAATGCTTTTATCGTTACTATTTTTTGAGTGTAAACAGTCAAAACAACGCGCACACCCTCGAAAAAAGGGACAGTTTGGTCGAATGATTGTGAAAAGTTTAAATTTACATTTTCCTAATTTGCTTTGCTCGCTTGTTTCTGTGAATGTTATGGCCAGTTTTTCATCGTTTGCTCAATTTTTCAAAATAAACACCAGTTCTAACTGGGTTTCCAACTCGAATTCCATTTGCTGCCAAAAGCAAATGCAATAAAATCCCGGCGATCATTTCTTTTCCCTGTTTTTCTTGTTACCTCCTGCTGCCCAGTCCATTTTCCACAAAAAATGCACATTCACTCACGCATTGGCTCTTTGTCGTAAAGTTAAGCCATAAAAGAAATTTATTCTCGTATTTACATTGAACGAAAGAGACACTGAGCCATCTGAATTTATGTTGGACGCTTTCCGCCCCAAAAAAAGAGCCATTCAACCGGGAAGATAAGCGTGGAATAACGAACAACAATTGCAATGAAAGTTTATTTGCAGATTTTTTTATATTTTTTGGGAGGTTGATCTGAATCGAATGCTTATTTGGCTTCCGATAAACATAAACCGATAAGGAAGTCGGGAAATAATTTTTGGGGAAAGGAAACACATTGTTTAAGTGCAAATAAACAGGGGGAGTACTTTGCTTGTGGATTTTTTCAAACATTTTTTTGCAGCATAAAATATTTAAAGGTCTCAAAAAAACCAAAGGAAACAGAATATTCCCAAATGAATAAAGAGGAAGTTTTGTAGGTTTTGTTAAAATGCATTCCTTGGAAATTGTTCAGGGTTTTTTGTGCACATTGCCTTTTTATATTCTTAAATTTACCCAAGCATTAAAATCTTAACATTTTTAAAAATTAGTATTCCAAGAAACCAAGTAGAAGATTAAAGCATTTAAGGCCAGCATTTATAATACCATTAATTTCAATGCCGCCCTTTAACCTTTAATTTCAGTTCTCAGGTTCGAAATGATCTTAACCCGGGATTATGTTCGCTTTCATGTTTTCCTATCTCCAGAGATAAAAGTTCCCAACTTCCCTTAACCCTTGTTTCCCGCCCGTTTTAATTGCTACTCAGAATTAGACCGACAACAATTTATCATAACCATGATTCCAAAAAAAATAAAAGGCAGGAAAAAATGCATTTCAGCTAATAACCCAGAGCCTCGGGCCAAAGTTAAGTCAGCATTAGTGCCAGTCACTCCCCCGACCTCTGTATATATATTGTATAGTGTATATATATATATATATATATCCCCCTCTGGCCGGGAATCATTCAAGTGCAGCACTTTTGCTGTTGGTTTTACTACCTGTGATAAGGCCCCGAGGAAATTAAGAGCCAGTCGCGGAGGGGCGAGCTCTCTGATCTTTGATCTCCTTTCCCAGTGTTTTCAGGTTTGTCCAACCGGGTCTGTCCACGTCCCTCCCCTCAGCATTTATTGTGCACTCAACAAAATGATATATGGGTTTCTTTCATAGGAATTTTATGAATGGAGAGAAGAGTATGGCAGTTTCTCAGTTTGCCAAATTTCATTGCATATTTTTAGGAATTATATAGGAATATATTTATTTATATTTTTAGATCCTTGTAAAGTTCTATATTTCAAGAAAAAATTAATAAAACGAGTATGTAATATGTATAAGTTTAAAGATCCTAAAAATTCGACTTAAAAACCAAAAAAAGTTAGCTTAGGTTATACTTTAAGAAGATTGCAACATAAATTCATTTATAACTTGTACGAATCAATCAGGCAGAAATGTTTTTATTATTTTGATAAGAAAAGTAACATCTTGAGTCTAATAAGGACTAATTTTTTCGAGTGCAGTACGTGACTGACCAGTCGCAGAAAGCCAGTCGGGAGAAAGACCTGGCCGAAGGGACGTGGCCGCGTTATATGAGCCGAAAATTGTCGAGCTGTGTTCCTGTGCGTTGCCTTGCACTCGTAGGTATTTTGTGTTATTGTGTGTGGCAGATAGAGACATGAGGCGAAGCGGATAATGATAATGGCATTCGGTGGGTTCTGTGAAAGCGATCAGGTTACGGCCACGAACCGAGCGGAGAGGAGAGGAGAGGAGAGGACCTCATAAAGTGACTACCTACGCACCGGGCTCTTTTTCAAATTGGCCAGGAGCAGCATTATTCTCCGAAAGTGGAAAGGAGGAGGGGTTTTTGAAACACAGATGCAGCGGGCAGATGTGCACCATTGACAGATGCCAAAAATAGCAAATTATTCGCAAGCGTGTGCCGGTCCCCGAGAAAGGGATTGTGGCCGAGACTAGAAATCCATTTGCCAGATGCCAAACTAATCGAATAACTCTAAAATGTTTTCGAAATGTTTAAAATATGCAAATACTTGGATGAGCGCGTGTTTCAATCATTTCGGCCTCCATTATCCAAATCGATTTATTTCAATTTCCATTTGTTTGATCCCCCATAGATGAGAGGCTATGTGGCATCAAGTGGCCGCAATAAATTTCGATTTTCTGTGATCCAAGCGTCTAGAATCTAGAGTCTGAATGCACTTTCTTTACATGCCTTTCCAAATAGAGAACATTGATTTCACTTAAACGATTTTCCATTGCGCCGATCGTCGATCGTTGGACACAAATTTCTTTTTCCCCCCCAAAAGTACTGAGAAGTGTTCCCCAATGGCTGCACGTGTCTGTGGCAAGTGCCTCGGATTTCGGCTTTCGGATTTCTGGCTTCAAATTGTGCGGGCGCACTGCCAACGGAGGTTGGATGTCTATATAGTATAGTACATAGTCGTTGAGGCGCGACTTTGGCTACGCCTAACGCATACTTAAATGCTCTGGGGCAGGGCTCGTGGTTTCCAGTGCCTCTAATTAATATGCGGCACTCCTTTCTAGTTCTTCTTCACCATACGATATTCCCCTTTTCCTCCAGTGACTATTTGGGTTCGTTTTCGATTTGGGTTATTTATTGCCATTTACTTTGACGCTTCCACTCGGGCTTGGAGGCACACTTAAAGCTTCAATTAAAATTTTGGCACGCAGCTGAGGGAAATATTTTAAAATTCGTCACAACAGCATTGAAGAATGCCATTACAAATTTCTTAACTACTTTTTGGCGGCAAAGAAGAAAAAAAACGAAAGACTTTATTCAATGAAGTTGAGGCAAGCAAAACGTTTACAAATTGTAAGCATTTGTTTTCAAGTTTTGAACTTAGCAACTGGTTTTGTAAATAATTTATAAGGTGTTTTAATGTTGCATCAATGGAAAATTTAAGTAAAATATTTAGAGATTTTAATAACCGGTTATATTTTGTAAATATATTTCCTAAAGTCTGATAAATAATATGATTTTTGTTTAATAAAATATTAATAACCCCCTAACATCCTCAGATAATAATTCAGAAATAGGTTCGTAGTTTATAGTATTACCCATTTTGTTGGGAAACATTGTAGAGTTTTATCTGGAATCCAGGCATTCCAAAGCTGCAGTTCGAAATAGCCAAAATAGCTGGATCGGTTTTCGGCAAGTACTTATCTCGGCATTACTGCCATCCACTTCTTATGTATGTGGGGATCGTAAATTCTGGAATTTCTTCCACAAAGCTGCAGCATCTGCGGCTTTTCGGGCCTTTTGACTTTGACTTCTGGCTGCCGCTGAATCAGCAGTTGGGCTCTCCATTATCGTGCCGATCATTGGGCGCTTTACTATATATGTGTGTGTGCATTTCTCGGGGGTTATGTACAAAAACAAGCCCATGTAATCGTGCCCCACTTGAGTGGTGCTGCTGCACAAACCAACCACCCCCCAGCCCCTCCCCCCTTGGAAAACCCGCACTCCGCCGACGACAACTCATTCAGCGGCCGGCAATTCGCCAGCGACGTTAAGTAAATTGATTCTTTAATTGCCGAGAATTGGTTACCAGTTGGCTTAACTCGCTTTTCAGCCCGTTGCACGACCCCGTCCACAATGCCCCCATCTTTTGCAGTGCATATACATACAAGCATACATATAATACATACATATATACATAAATGCAAGCGAAGAATCGTGAATCGAGCATCGAGAATAAATACATGAATACCAGGCCATGGCGAACAGACAGCATCGGTTGACTGTGTGTGACTCACTCGGATCCAAAATAAATACACCCGGGCCTCCATTGAGCAGGAATTTTCTGCACAGACAAGGGCAGGGTCCTCACACCACTCCCCCTTCCCCTCCCCCTCTTCCCTTCTCCTCTTCTTTCCCTCCCTCTTTGCAATCCTAAAACCCCAACGCCGCCGACTCCCTCGCATTTCTGGCCAAACAAAATCTTTTTTATGCTTCGCGCTTCTTGCCGCATTCGCGGTCATTTGATGCCTCTTCTTCGCTTTTTTTTTCTCAGCCCGGGCATTTCAATTCGCACCAAGCAGACTACACAAAAAATGCCATGAAATTCAATCTTTAGAGGAAAAAAACAGAACACAAGAAAAAATGTTTCCCAAAATGCAATATTTCTTGAGCGAAACGTATTTGGAAAAGAAGTGCTGATGGAGCGCATTTTTATGGCAATATTTACAAGGAATCATAAAATTTGACACTTTTTCGCAGGTCCCTAAATTCGACTCATTTTTAGCTAACAATGTGGGAAGTTTATTCAGATCGATCATATTGTAATATGTTCCAGTTCTTGGTCATAAATTAACAACATTTACCAGAACTTATAATGTTGTTTTTGATTTTTTACGTTAATAACTTATGTATGGAATAATAACTTTGGAACCCATTTAAAACAACAAATAAAATAAGAAAAATAAAATACATATTTTTAAAATAAATTATAAAAATGTATCTAAAATTTTAAGATGAAAAGTAGGAATGCATCCTAAATCGTCTTATCCTCTCATTTTGTTTTTGTCATTCCGATTTTGTCATCCATTGTCCATTTTGTCAACCGATCTGTACTGTGTATCTTTAAGTAAGGCTTTTTTTCTCCCAGTGATCGCGATGATCATCAGTTAGACTTGTTGTTTACCCATGTCAAGCGCAGTCGGACAACTATGGAATATTAAGTAAATATGGTAAATACGGAGTGAGCAAACATAAATTCCTGGCGAAACATGTCAGCAGATCAGTCGGCGATCTTCGGCGAGGAAACGCCTTTCGAACGCACCTACCTACCTATATATATACGATATACGATTTTGCAATCCAATCAATCCGAACATAATCGCATTGTTTATGGATTGGGGTAGGCGAACAACAGGAAAAGGGTTCCTCCAGGTGATCCAAAGAAAGCAGGGTGATCTCCGATCACACCAAAGACCAATAATGTTCTCACGCTTCTTCGCCACGCTTCTTTAGGGAAAATAGCAACTACCTAGAATTGCGGTGAGTCGAGGGGCTAATTAATACAGGACCCCGAACCAGAATTCGATACCGATGTCCTGACCCTCCAAACCCTCCTGCTGATCGGGCTTTTGCCTATTGATCATCGGATTGCTTTTGCTCATTTCCTGGGTCCCGGACAATGGCAAAAGTCTGGAATAATTAACAGCCGTAACCGAGTCGGAATCACAATTGCCAACCAGTAAATGGCAAACAGCAAACAGCAAATACCGATCCCCTCTTCAGATACTTATAATACTTCCTAACGATCGTTCGACTGAATGGAGCGGGGAAAATGCATTCAGACTGCCGCCATTCAACGATCGTGATAAATAACTGAATTAATGCGACGGCCTCTGAACAATAAATTATTAACTTTACTGTTCACATCACTGTAAAAAGTGCTAAAATTACACAACTAATAGAAGCATTTGTTTTACACTATCTGTAAAAGATCATTTGAATAACGCGGAAATCTCGCACATTTGCAAAATGTCAAAAGATGAAAGATAGCAAATGAATCATGACAAAATATGTGAATGGGTTAATGGGAATCCTCATCGATCTTCTAGCTGATTCATATATGTCTTATTTAAACCAGAAATTTTGGGACATTTTTGCACATAAAAAAACCCAGAATATTAGTCACTGATACAGAAATTATAAATTAAAAAATCTTTATGTAAATGATAATAATTTTTAGCATGATAATTCTAATAAACTCGTATAAGGTTTTAAAAATTTTAGTATCTGTTTAAAAATCTGTTTTTTATTGAACAACATAAATACTAAAAACAATTGGTTTTGAAAACGCTTTTTTAAATTCCTTTGAATTTTTGAAATAGAAATAAATTCTTTGAAAGAATATGCATGTTTGCACAACTTCTAAGCACTTGGAAATAATTATTAAACATATTTATGCTCATAATATTAAAGGGCTATATTTATAATTTTTGTCGGTGCGTGATCAGTGGGACAAATGTAGGTCAGAATGGGTCTGAAACATTCCGACAGCGGCACTATCATCCCAGCCCGCTGACGCCCAACAATCACATCGATTTATAGTAAATTCCTGCACTTCAAATCTCTGTCCGAATCCCCGTCCGAATTCGAATTAGATGCATTGCGATTAGTGAGGAGGCCTGGATTTTTGGGGTCGCCCTCCCCATTTTCGATTAGATTGTGGAGCCCCAGTCGATTGCATCAGGTTGACCCCAGTGGAAAGCACTTACCCGCGGAGCTGCCCACGATCAGTAGGAGTCCGGAAATTAGTAGGGCTCGTCTGGACATCATATTGTGTATATGGTATAATCTTATAATGTGAAGTGCACTCGCCGACGATCGGTGGTTAAATAGGTATCCAATGGTTAGCTCTTTTGGCTTTTGTTCGATCCGAAATCTGTGTCACACGGGCCAATTGATTTCTGGCGATCTATTTGGGATCTCGAAAATTATTGCCGCGTAATTATGTTGACGTTTTAGCGTTCCAATTTCCGGCTAGCACTGTCAGCACTTTTCTTAAATTTCTTGATTCGTTTTTCTCTTTTTTTTTGTTCTTTAACCTGCACACACACAAGATAAATTGGTTTTCAGGTCTGGTATTTTTCTGTTTTTTACTTTGTATATTTTCTAAATTCAAAAATCCGTTAACCGTCCGCTCGAGACAGCAGCAAAACGAGAAATGGCCAACGGTTTTAAGTTGTCTGCTTGCTTGATTGCCTGCCGCTGGCGAAAGAGAAAGCGGAAGAGTGCGTAACTTACCTAAAGAGAGGGCGCTAAGAGAGCGTTGATTATGTGGCGCGAAATAATTTTATTTAAAAACATTCTTTTCAAAAGGGGTTGTATTTATAGAAAGAAAGCATTTCCTGGCCATAAATATGAGTTAACGGATGTGGACCGTTGAAAGCACGGATTGTGCATAACAAAATACAAAAAGTACGAAAAATATGTGGCAAAAGCTATGTATTTAACAAGCCCCAATTAACTTGAAATTAAGTAGCGAAATACAATTTCATTATGCCACATGCTCGGACTAAATTCCATTAATTGCTGAACAGCACATGTCGTTGGTTTTCTTTTTCCCCAGAAGAAGAAGAAGAGCCGTCTTCAAGCTGCAGTTGCCGATTCGCGGAAATTTATTTGCATCCCCCGGAGACAATTTGCTTGATGCAATTGCGGCTTTTTCTCAGGCCGCCAATAAAGTCGGCCTGGGAAGCCGTGATTTCCTTGATTTCCAAGGGGTAATTTACCCACATCCCCGAAGTTACTCCATCTCATTTTCCGTCTGCCTTTTTTTTCCTGTCCCAAACGATGACGCCTACGTCGGGTGAGAGATACGGATACTTGGCTGCTCGGTTGCATGGATACTTGGATACTTGGCGCAACAGATGCAGATACGATTTATGAGTGCGACAGCGACCGCATTAAATGTAGATACATGCAACATTTGCACTGTACAAACAAACAAACAATTAAAATTAATCTACGAGCATAAAACAAAGTGCATTGCATTATGGATCTTGCACAGATAGATCTCTTTGAGGCTGTGTGTGCTCTGCACTGAGAGAAAATTCATTTTCAAGGATGTTGATATGAAAATAAAATGTTGATAACATGAATCACAAAAAAATGCAAATGTAAAACATAAGGAAAAAATGCATAGGGAGCGATTTTAAAAAGGTGCCAAAAGTGTGTAGTTTTTGTACAAAATTTGGGAAATTTTTTTTACCAATTTGCAACGGATTATTTTAATTTAAATAGATTACGAGTGTAATTTTTAATCAGCACATTCTAAAGGATTACTCAGAACTAGAAAATAAGAAGATAACAAATAAATAGGCCAAACTGTGAATAAACTAAATGACTAATTTAATGAAAAATAATGTAAAAACAACAAATTACATTGTACAGAATTTTATAGTGAAAAATATTATAAAATTCATTATTTTTGAAGATTTTATTTGTTGCTTACTGCAGTTTTTTAATGGACTTTTTATTTATTTTCAGTGTGAGTGGTGCGATGTTTGCGTTGTCTTCTTTTTGGGTGCCAAGCTTGTAAACATCCGCAAATTTAGAACAATTCCTAGGGAACTCTGATTCGGATTCTGTGGGGCAAGAAGCATTGGGAGTGAGTTTGAATATGGGAGTGAATGGGCGTGGATATTAATCAAATATTTATATTTACACACACCAGTTCGTTGGCACTGGAATGCATTCGTTGAATTTCCGAGAATTCGTTTCTTTTGAAAACAAATTAATCAAACAACAAGGGCGACAACAACAAAGTAAAAAGCCAGCAGAAGACTGGAAGAATAGAATGCTGACAGCAGGGAAATGTGAGAAATCTAGTGTGGAGTCGCTCGGAAAATTGAATTGTTGCAAGAGGCGCGCAGACTCCATGCGCCGGCGGCTTAAGAGAGGCAACTGCGGGCGACCACTCTCTTAGGCAGTTGGCAACGCGGCCAGTCGCAGTGGGTGGAAGTGGGATGGGTAGATTGCACCAACTGCAAGGGAATGCTGGAAAGTGGAATTGACCTAGGCTCTCTCTCTCTCTCGCGCGCGCCTCCTGCCAAGTGGGAATTTGGAATTCGTTAGTACGGCGATTGCAGCGCTTCTCAGGATTTCCAATTGGGCACTCCTGCGTCTGTGCAACATGACTCATCTGCTCTCCTTCGCCGCCTTCGGTTGTTCATTTATGCCGATTCGGATTCGGTTATTATGCTGGCTCTTTTCCATTCTGAAGTCAAAAATTACAGTTGAGCTACACTAACTGGGAAATTGGTTACCTATGGGAAAACTTGTTTATTTACTTGTAGAGTCCTTTATCAAGTTCAAAAGTATAAACGCTATATGTTGAAATGGGTATAAATTTTCCAATAAGAATTTCCTATGCTTTTGTTTTTGTAAATTCATTGTGCTAAAATCGATTTTTCACAAGTTTGTGGTTATAATTTTATTTGATAAAAAAACGTTGTAAATTCAAGTAATGTTTAAAAGATTAAAATTAATTTGAGTAAAGGATTTGTAAGTTCCACTTATTTTATTGTTGTCATTAAGGTTAGGTTGAGGTTAAGCGTTATAACTGTATTTTATGGTGTACAAAAAAATACTTTAACTACATATATTTAATGTTATATTCCTTATTTTCAATTCCTTTTGAACAACTAAGAAGCAGTAGTTGTACAATTTTAGGAACAAAGTTTCCTTTCACAAATTGGAAGAAATTTTTGTTCCCTTGCAGACGTAACACTGTACCTGGACATCCCTCCGTTGGCATTCGCAATAGCGCTTCTTGTTTCCCACTGGCAGTCCTCGACGAACAACAGAATCGAAAACGACAACCCACGCAAAAGTTCCAGCCACAAAAAACCCACAAAAACCTTAGCGACACAAACAAAGTTCAGTGTCTCGGCCGCCGTTTATCCTCGAAGTTGGCGAAAAAAGCGAACGGGTTCTGTAACCGCTGAAAAAGCAGAGAGACACACATAAAAGTGAAAAGGATTGCAAGGAGTGGATATTGGCAAGGCCCTCAAACATAAAAAAATAAAAAACAAGCGACAGAAATGAGGTATCTTTGGCTGCTGCTCCTTATCGCCTGCGGATCTGTCCAGTTTCCAGGTAGGAATCGGTTGCATCTCTCACATCTTTTGCCGCACATCGAGTGGCATTAAGAGAAGACAAATTAATTTCGATTCAATTTGTAATCTTTATGTGCCGTGGATTTTTTACTCGAAAACATATGCGGGTTCCATAAAAATAGAGGTCTCTTCAAAGGCTTAATTCTCCCAGGAATACAAGTTTAAGGCGCACAAAGAAATACTTGTATATATAATATATTTCTTGTTTGCTTGCCGCTTCTTATAACCCACTCATGGACGCTAATTTGCATAATCTAGTGATTATAATCCTGGGGAAAAGTCTGCGGCACTTGTGCATGTATATGAGTTGCAAGTAATCGATGGATTACATTGCACTTACCCCGTTTTTTTTCCGCTGACCCAATAAGGCAAGCTGAATCTATTAGAATATTGCCGCATCATTTGAATTAATCGGAAAAAAACATCCAATTAATTTATATGCAAGAGAAAGAACACGAATGATTCATTGTGGTAGATGGTATTATTCCCAAGTTCCCCCAAAATCAACTGATTCATAGATATTGAATAAAGGGTAGTACAAAAGAAAGCAGCTTAAAGATTAGTCACTTATTTTTTCATTACAATAATTAAATATTATTTGCCATAGAAGTTGCCTCATCGCACTTTTGAATATCAAGAAATTAGTTAGGTATTCAGCAGAGGTTGCATTTTCGCCATCTCCACATGGAACCGGCTCCAAACTCCATAAAACACTTGTCTGCCACCCAAAACTATCAGAGCTAAAGTGCTTCATAGGGCTCCCCACATTTATGGCAAACTTTTCCTTAAACGTTTTCTGGGACTTGGCAGAGTGGGTGGGGGGATAGAGTGGGCGAAAAGGGGGAGTGGCAGGGGAAGTAAGTGTTGTTGCCTGAAAGAACGTGTGTCATTCATTGAATTGACGACAATTTCGGAACCACTTGTAAGCAGGGCATGTCTCCATGATGATGAGTGTGCACAGGGAGAAAAAAACTCAAATTATTTACATTTTAGTATAAGATTGTATATTAAATTTGGAAAGCACCAAGTAAAACCAAATAAATGCAGTAAGGACTTTTAATACAACTTCTTAACATCAGATTTTTTTGATATTCCTTTGAAACGTATCTCAAAATAAATTTATTGGAGAAAAAGTGGGAGCCTCTTTTTATTTAATGTTGTTCTTTATTCATTCTTTTTCTTATAAGAACTTAAAATCTTGAATCTTAGTCTCAGCAACTAAAGACACCATGCAATATATTCTGAAAGGAGCTTAAATCTTAAAGCTTACTTTACCGTAAACATTTGATAATGATCTATGATTTTAGATATAGTTTTTCGGCTCGTGTACGAGCACTGCTCAGTGCCTCCAAATAGAGAAATTAGTGGAACAGTAAATGAAAAGGGTGGCAGGGGTACGGATGGCACTGAATGAGCACATTGTTAAAAATATCAACATGATTAAAGTGGCTCTTGAATAATTAAGCAACTGGAAGTGGGTCTGTGGAGCCGGGCTAGATGAGCTGTCAAAGGAAGAGAATGTGGCGAGGTAATTGTCGTATCATGCGTGCCTTTCAGGGTTATTTATGTGGCTTATCGATATTAATTATAATACAGAGAGGACGCCAGAAGCGTGGGATTCAATGGGTTTGTCACATGAGTTGACGCTTTTCCTTAAACAGCTGTGCCTTAACTTTCTACACTTGACCCTCAATAATTTTAAAGCGCCTTGGATGGAGAAACTCACAACATAAAGCTTAGCCTTCAGTATCTTATATGGTTATGGAATTATAAAAAGTATCTAATGTGTAAAGCTAAGTTTCCGTGAGGAAATAAAATGAGAATCAGAATATTTAAATTATATTTTATATAATAGCAATTAAAACTGTTAAGGCTTAAACACCAAATGTAAATCGTAAATATTGAACTAAAGATGGTATATTTATTTATATGTTTTTTTGTTTCGTAAGTCCTGCAATTTAAATGTTTGCTTATATTCTTATTGTTATATGTTTTTTTAGCATACTTTTAGGCAAAGAAATACTCATGGTCCCCAGTAAGCCACAAGTAGTAATTAAACTTGATCCATATTGTTTTTATGATTCAGAAAGATAAAATCATCCCCATTTTCCGGTGACCCAAATCGCATTTTCCGGGTAAACACAAGCGAGTAACTACGCCAAGGCTAAGAAAGGTGTCCCGACTTGTCTGCCGATGTCTTTTCATTTTTCCTAACGAGAGTGTAAACAAAACTAATAACTTTGCCACAACAACACACACACACACACATTAAACCCACGAATTATATGATATATATGTGTACGTGGATATGGCAAATTGGCAATTTTCGCTGCCATTAAGCAATGCGCTAAACGTGCAAATGACGCAACCAGAACGATGTATGTACATATATCCTTGAGCCAAATCCCGAATACATATATTCGCAGAATTGTGTTCCTTGCATATGATGAGTATTCCCGAAAAGAATTCCGTTCCGTGACCTGACCTCCAGCTCCAGGCAGGAGTTGGAGCCACCATATCACTCCAGAATGGGCGTTGACACGCTCCCTGGGAACAAAAAGACACATAAAAGGGGCTTGGCTTGGTTTTTGTTGGTTTGGTTGGCTTGGCGGCATGTTCCGTATTCCGTTAATGGTTTTATGTTCTCTTCCGAGGTCTTTGGGGCTTAGGCTTCGAAACTATCGCCAGACACGGAAATCTGGACTGGCACCTTCTCGAGTGCTTTTCAATGCATGCACAGCGAAAATAAACTGACTGATGTGATATGATAATTTTTGAAACAATCAACAACTATATGCAAAATAATTAACATATGTTCTAAATAAATCTTATAAAATATAAAAATACTTATTTAAAATTCCATTTTTTGCATAATTTTAAGTTTATTATTTTTAAAGATAATCTGTAATATAAATTTTGATTAAATTCGGAAAAGTAAAAAAGCCAACAAATTCCATACAATTCTTGCCTTTTTCGAGGCTTTAGCTTTATAAACCCATAAGTTCGTGTTGATAGAGAAAATCCGTACATAACACACAAAGTATAGAATTACTGACAAATATCAAATTAAAATCAACCAGATTTCGCTCACTGTTTAGCAAAAGGTGCGTGTGTATGTGGGCCCCTAACTAATTGAAATTTATTCCAGGTGTGCTGACCTTGCCGGAGGCACTCCCAGCCAAATCTTCATCAGCCGCTGGAGGCGGCAATGGAGGAGGAGCCGGGGGAGGAGTCACTGCCCCATCAGCCGGAGACACCAGCGCGGACTACGACGATTCTGGTGAGGAGGAGGAGCAACGTGCTCCTGGAAATCTGGCCAAGTCCACGGCTGGTCCCAAATTCCCCGATCCCTACTTCGAGCAGACTGATGTGATCATCTATGTGCCCAAAAACGCGACCAGTGTTAAGCTGGAATGCCCTGTGAAGAACTACAATGGTGAGTTTAAAAATCAATAATGGGAAAAAAATATAAAGGACAAAAATTGAAGTCAGCCAGCCTAGCTGATATTATAAAAAAAAAGTATGAGAAATTTTCAGAATAAAATAATGTTTTTTTTTTTACTTTAACTCTAAAGTCAGAAATTAAAGTCTTCTTACCATTTCTAAATGCATTTACCTCTAATTCACTTTAAAATTGTAACATACAGGTATGTAGAAATCTTTTGAACTTATTTAAACGTTTCAAGTGCTTTAGAAATTATAACTTGAAAAATTAATTATCATGTCTTCAATAAGACTAATAATTTTTAATATTACTTGCTCAATAAAAATATGAGTTGAAAATTAACAAATTAAAATCGAGCAACTCATAAAAATTTACAGATGACTTTATGTTAATGTTATGTCTTAAATGTTATAAACTCTACCAAAAACCTTAATATATTTTTAAAAACAAATCTCATAATCGAATATTGATTTTTTCTTTAATATTTTTCTTAACTAAAGCCCAACACCACGTGATCATGTGGTACAAGGATGATGTGCCCGTGTCCAACGATCGCGCCATAATCAACAAGATCTACGCACTGGACGAGCAGTTCGGCTTGACCGTTCCGCTGGCAGCGAATGCCACAGAGGAGCGGTTCGTGTGCAAGGCCCTTCCGAATGCCCTGCGCCAGGTGACCATCCGGTTTGGGCCGGAGCCAAGCACCCCAGCTCCGGCCGCGGATCCGGCGGTGACCTCCGCCCCCGCCAAGGATTCGGCACCTCAGGGTCGGGACATCAGCCTCTGGCTGGTGAGCTTCCTTTTGGCATCTGTCCAATTGGCAGTGGTGTCCCTTCGATTTTGAAGTGCCGGCCAAGTTCAAGAGCCCTCGAAGAATCCGCACCACCGGCATTCAAGTTTGGAGATGCACACCGCAACAGATGAGCTTGACATTGGGACATGGACATTGGGTGACCGTCGATGGCTTGGCGAAATTAAGATAGGTGTTGCTTTGTTACTGTAATATATATGTAGGAAAAGGAAAACAAACACAGATCTTACGGGGAAGCAAACATCCTAGAGCTATAGATTATTTGAATTCCACTTCCGAACTCAGCTTCCTCCACTTCCAAAATCGATGTTTGTTTAGACTCCTTTGAAGTATTATTGTTTGTATACCTCTTACAGATATGCTATATCTATAGGATCGAATTAGCCTAGTGTGATTGCTTTAGTCTTGCGCTTGATCGAGAGATTAGTACATAATTGATTTTAAATTAGCGGAACAAAATGCGATACCAAGTGGCTTAACGTATAATTGTGAAGGATACGATATATATATATATCTGTATATGTATGAAGAGATTATGAGTACATAAAAACAATGTATGCAATTTTTGTCGAATGTAAAGTGAAATAAACTAGAGCTGCTATAGACCCAGCTGAATCCATTCAACGAAATCCACCCCTATAAATGCAGGCCGGCAGGATTCCGTGGCGTACTTTCCTTTGGTAGTGGGAGGGGTGAAATCCAACACAAACACTCGCGCGCGACAAGGACAACAAAGCGCTGAGGTCCTTACAGAACCAGAACCTCCTCAATGCAGCTGCAAGGCGTCGAGGGAGCGGAAGGGGAAGGAGGAGGAGGAATTCCGCAATGTGCGCAGGGCCTGGCAACCATATGGTGGCTCCTAAGGGTGGTGTTAATGGTGGTGGTGCTGGTGGTGGCACAAGCCCCGAGCCAGAACTTTACCTTCCGGCTCAGTCATCAACTGCTTGGCGGCCAGGACACACATTTCTAGTCAGCGGAATAAATCAGCGCCAGCAAAGGTAAGTTCTCATTGAGAAACATTTTCTTTTTTTTTTTTTGGAGATATATCAGCAAAGTTCTTTAACCTTAACCTTCAGATGCTACCGCAAACCGAGACTCCTTCATCGATCGAGAATACTTACGTCGAGGCTCCACAATTCGCTGAACACTGCGGCCAAAGTCGTTGTGGCCAAGCCCAAACTGCTTTTGAGGTCTACCAAAGAATCCTGCAGCGTCTACAAGCAAATCAGCAAGAAAATCTCGAGGAAGCCAAGGAAAACGATTTAATTAAGCAGATTTGGCTTGACAGCTTCACGGGAAGACCCATACAATACCAATGTTAGTTGAAGAATGCAAAAACCTTGTTAAAGTTATTAAAATTAAATGGAAAGAAAACCAAAACTCTTAAGTATTTACAGTTGAATCCCTAAAAGTAAAATAACGAAACATAACATAACATTTTCTTTTCAAAGCCTTTATTGGTTTATTTTGAATTTTGTACTTATCATTAATATGTTAAATTACTTACCCATCTGGTTAGTTCTAAAACAAAATTGTGTGTTGAAAAAATATGAAATATGTTAAATACGCAGCAACTTTAATTGTTTATTTAATGTTCTTCCATCTTCATTTATAAATTCATAATGGTTTATTAACTTATTTTTAAACGCATTTTAATTTCTTGATTTCCAAAGTGGATTTTGATCTGCACTTATATTTTTTCTTCATTGAACAATGTGATAATTTCATTCCGTTTTATTACTTTACTAATTTATTTGATAGAGATATAACTCTGGATTCTACTGCTAGTGACACATGTTTTTAAATATGAATGCATATATTGATTGTAAAAGGGAGGATCGGGTCGCTTCGATTGTAATTGGATCTGTTTTGACATTATTTATTAAAATTCATTCATTGTGTTTGTTTTTTAATTATTACACATTTTTGAGAATCATAGAAAATTACGAACTCAGGAAATTATACTTTAAACATAATAGTATTTATTGGGCTTATAAACTGTTGGCATCGCCCACAGTTCCAACAGGTTTATGCAACTTTAAATTAAGATTAATATTATTTTCGTGGGAATTAAGAGCGCGAGTACGCATTTTTATAAATATTACTCATTATTCATTGATAGCATCATTTTAAATGGTGCATTCTTCTTGTTAGGCCAAGAATATATTAGGTTTAAGGTATATTCAAAGTGCTCCCATTATGGGCTTTATAAACATAAACATCGTCCTTAGTTATCTTTTATAGCGGCGTGTGGTGGAATCAACCGGAGCTCCGAACGGCGCAGCTCGGTACTATTATTTATATTTTTTGAGTATGGTATACGGATTGGGCTTATAGGACTTGATGGGCGGTTCGCGCATTCGTTTCATGTCAGTCGGATATGGACGTTTATATGCCGCTGCGTTTGTCGGTATTATTGATGGACGTGCTATAAAATTGGTTCATTATTATTTTTAGTAGTTTATGCGTGTATCGTTACTATATAGAAAAGGTTTTTGCGTTATTTAAAATTAATCATTCCAGAGTATTATATTCTTTTTTTTTTTTGCATTGAGAAGTTCTTGTTCATTCACTGTTACTGGTACTTGATACTACAGTTTAACCCGAGGTACCCCAGCCAAAGTGCAATCCATAGAATTGGAATGGTGCGTGGAAGGCAGAGGCGATCTTAACTACTAGACCCCGGCACTACGAATCTACAGCTGAGAGGGATAGAAGAGCATGCATGAGCGACCCAACTTACGTTTGCTGTACTCATAGCCCGTAGGTGGACGCTTGGGGGGCATACGGTGCTCGTATTCGTAGGCCACCTCCTCCGCCTCATCGACTCTATAGGGAATAATAATGTTAATTTTCCGTTCAACTCACGTTGGCTAAGATTTAAGGCACTAATCATACGCAAGGACGCTTGGGTCCCATATTCCTGGTGGGGTCATTAAATGATACAAAATTATACTTTACAAGTAACTTACTCGGGCGGATTTTCCGCAGCTCGTTTAATCAGATTTATGTACTTGGGTGCTCCATTGCTTCCGCCTCCAAACTTCTTGTCAAAGACAGATCTGTAAAGTAAAATTCAGCTTAAAATTCTTTTCCACTTGCTTTTGCCTCTTTGAATACCATCCAATCCAATCCCATTCTAGGTGATGGATGGGAAATACATTTGTTAATAATAGCATCCACTCACCTGTAGGCCTCCAGATTGGGCCCATGTATGCTCTTGGCCGACTCGGGATCCATTTCCATCAGTTCGCGCAGCTGTTCGTGCGAAACCTCGTCGTTTTTGTCTGGAATTAGATACTTACGGATCTCGGCCAGGGCATAGGCTATACGAGCGTAGCATTCCGCCGGCGTGGCCACCGTACTGACCTCCAGGAAGAGGTCCTTCTGTAGGTGGGCATACCTCGGATCGCCCGAGTTGCGCAACTGCTCCTCTTTGTTTCGATCGCGAATGGAACTCCTTCCCTTAATAGCGATCTTGCATTGTGTCTCCTCCTGAAGACGCCGCAGTGAGTTTCCCTTGGGACCCAGGATCTTGCCAGTGAAGTTGAACTGCCAGGATATATTTGGCATTAATAATACTGACAATGAAACCTCTTAGTATCAACAAACTACCTTTGGATACTGCTTAACAGGCACGAAAACCTTCTGGGTTATTTTCATCGGCTTTTGCTTGTACACATCCGCGTAGAACTCCTTGCCAGGAATGCGACCAGTACAATAGACTCGGTCCACAGCTGAAGTAGATAGAGAAAAAACATTAAATATGTATAAATAACTTTTATATATCCAAATTGATTTTACCCTCGTCGATGAGAAGTGCGCATAGTGGAAATTCGGCAGACAAACGCTGGCGCTCTTCATCCAAATCGGCCAGAAACTTTTGCGCCACCTCGTTAAGGCGAGGCTGATGATCATGGGTTGCTGGCTTCTCGGTAAATTCGCTTGGAGGTTCCATTTTTATCATAATATCCTGGAAATTACTTTCAACCAAAAACACAGTCTGAAAACTGTATGTATAATAGTACTCAAAATGGCCGCAGGGCTGTCAAACGTATTGAATTTCAGGGTTGCTGAGCTGTGGCACTAATGATATTATTTTAACGTATATAAGCTTAAAGAATATATAATATATAATATAAATACAAAATATTCATATAAAATATAATAATATGGTAATTGTTCAGAACAGCGGCTTTTCTGAAAAAACTTAATAGGGACATTACTTTAAAATTGTTTGAAAAAAAGCTAAATGCCAAGTAACAGAGTTGCCGGCAAATTGTGAAGTCGATTTCGATTTCGATATTTTTGGCGGCTAACCGGTGGTTCATCTCTAATATTACGCTTTTTTATGAGTTTGTTGATATTTTTGTGGTAAACAATGGCTAGCGAAGACTTATTTGAGCATGAATTCTCTGAAGAACAGGACTTGCAACATCAGCAGGCTATGGAAACAGAGGAGGCGGAACCGCCGGAAACCGAAGAACCCTCAGAAGTTATAGAGGAAACACCAGAAAATCCTCCTGAGGAACCGACGACAGAACCCGTTGCCGAAAAACCATGTAAGGTCTTACCAACAATAAGTATAATCATAACTGAATAGTTGATTGTATTGCAGTAACGAATGGCACCAAACCTTCTACTGATCACGAGGCCAAGATGACACAACTGCCTTTGGCGAGAATACGAAACATAATGAAGTTGGATCCGGATCTGCACATGGCCAACAATGAGGCCGTGTTTATGGTGGCCAAAGCCGTGGAGTTGTTCATCGCCTCATTGTCCCGGGAATCGTACACCTACACGGCCCAATCCAAGAAAAAGACCGTCCAAAAGAGAGACGTAGAAATGGCGATATCAGCTGTTGACAGTTTGATGTTTCTAGATGGAGCCATGAACTTTTGAACTCGCTGTAGGAAAACCCAAATTAAATAACCCACAAATCAAACAGGTTTCGTCGATTATTATTTTTTATTCTGGGATATTTATGCGGCAAACACATTCAGTTCTAATCTGCCTAATGGTTAAATGTTAAAAATAATAATTAAGATATAAAACAATTGTTGATTCGCAGGAAAACAAACAAAATAAAAGGAAATCATAAATATAAACGACAACGTTGGACGTTTCACAATACTCAATACTCATTTCTCGTGGGAATTTGTAACGAAGCCGGCATTTGGTTAATTTTTAACTGCTGCTTATAGTGTGGTTTGTTGTTAATCATTCTGTCCGCAGGCGATACTTACTTTGTCGTTGGGCATATATCTGGGGTTTACTTTTAGCTTTTATTGTTGGTTTTATATTCATTAATCTTATGAAACAATATTTCCAAAGCTTAGACTAACATTTCGCATTGATTAATTTATTGTTTTTGGGGATTTTTGTTTGTGTTTTTTGTTCTCCTTTTTTGTATTGGCTTTAACTAGCAATTATTTGTTTGAAGTTTTTGTTTTTTTTTTTTAACAATCATTTCGAGGATAAAATTTGTTGCATTGATGATTTTGTTTTAAACACAATTCGAATATTGGACAACAATTGCAATAAAAAGTTACGTTTTTCATTTGATTTTTGTTTAGATAGTATATTTAATAGGTGTGCATAGTTGGATTGTTGACTTTAAACATTTTTGATATTGGTTTGGAATATATATATTTTATTCTTTATGCTTAACTTTTTTAGTTGTGGTTGTTGTAGTAGTTGTTGGGGGTTGGTATCTTGGGGGTTTTGGTAAATCGATGGGTTAACGTATTTTCGGATATGGAGCCGAGCGATAACGCACGCTTTCACGAGATCGGGATCCAGTTTCGTAGTGAGCAGATGAATGTGATCCCGAGCCCGAGGTTGTTGGTCGATATGACGATGATGAACGACCGTTGCTTGGTTTTGCTATTTTGGAAAGAATTTTATTTGTTGTTTAGATTCTAAATGGTTTCTGTCTCTGTGGTGCTGTTTTTTGGTTTTGTTTTTCATTTGCTTAACATATATACATCGTAAAAAAAGAAAAATACATTTTTTTAACCGGTTTTGAATGCACTACACCCTACGTTAAGTTCATTTATTGAGTAAAATGCATTGGTCACGTTTCAAAAAAAGTTTCACAAACCATTCAGTTTGAATTTTACATCGAGAACATGTTGTACGAATATTTTTTGCGTTTCCTGGCATGAAGGTTTTATGAATTTGTTTTCAAAGTGTGAATTTAAATTGAATTTGTTTGGTTTAGTCGATTTTGATTTATTTTTTTGTTCTTGCTTTTTGTGAATGTGTTAGTAGTCGCCCAATTAATGAAGATGATTTAATTGTAGCTGTACGCTTTAGTTGATCTCGCCTCTGTTCAGGCATAGTGCATTTAAAATCTTGTTAATATGGGATGGGTTTTCCGTTTATCATAATTTTGGTACGCGATTTTGTGACGGTTTCTGTTTTTTTTTTTTTTTTCGTTTCAATTTTCGTCGCTTAGTTGGATATTTTTTTGTTTTGCGTTCGAGTTTTTTCTTGATTTGCGCGATTAGAGTTTAAACGTTTACATGGCTATTTGTCGTATTCTTTTTCTTTTTCTTTTTTCATTTTGTTTCTTTTTACATGCCTGCTGCGGGGAAGAGATTAATAGTTCTAGATCGCTAGATATCTTACCTGGATAGGCCGCCGCGTAGGAAGAGGAGGACGAGTGGGGGTGATACTCACGCCGGTAGTCGCGCTCGTAGGAGCTGCTGTCATACTGGGCGTGGTGGGTCGAGTGCTTCGAAGTTTGGGGCGGCGGTGTCGCGTAGCGGTCGTATTCTCCATGGTGGTCGTACAGCTCGTGGTCCCGTGATCTACTGAAAACGGAACGGAATTAAAAACTGGCCGTGAAGCGTTGGCTACGGTTACAGAAATATTATATCCTGTATATAATATACATATAGGCTTTCCACCAAGCTACGTTAATTGAAATTCAAATGGTCATGGTCCCTGCACAAAGGGCATAAAAAACAAATTGATTTCCTATATAAATAGAAATTAAGACCAAACACTCTTAAATTATTTAATGCCTTTTTAAACTGATAAAGAAAAGTTAAGGACGAAAGATCCAATAACTCGTTTCAAACACTCTGTTTAGTTAAGTCTTGGAAAATAGTAACTACTAATCTTGAAATTATGATCCTGACCAAGAATAAAAATATACCAATGAATATGCGTTTTCTGTAACAGACTCTTAAAGAATTAATAAATCGAATACAGTTGTCGAACCTGTGTGTCTTGACAATTCCATAGTTTGGATCGTCCATCACATATCGTGCCTTCTCCAGGATCGAATAGACCTTGGGCTTGGATGAAGCAGGAGGTGGTGTGCTGTGACGAGACAAAATTCTTGATAAATAATTAAAAGGTAAACAGAATGTATGGGCTTACCGTGAACTGTAGGCGCCATGATCGCCATAAGACTTGGAATAGTGATGAGACTTCTTGTACATGCGCTCCTTGCCATCCATTTCACGCAGTTGCTCCAGCCGAATGTCGTCGTTGGCATCGGGTATCATAAACTTGCGGATCTCGCCCAGCGCATAGCTGATCCTGTGATAAGCCTCTGCTGGTGGGGCCACCGTGGATATCTCCACATGCAGATCTCGGCTGAGGTGGGCATACTTTGGATTCCCAGAGCTGCGCAGCTCCTCCTCTTTGCCGTGATCTCGCATGGAGTTGCGTCCCATGACAACCATCTTGCACATGGTCTCTTCTTGCAGTTGGCGAAGCGTGTTGCCCTTTGGGCCCAGGATTTTGCCAACGAAATTGAATTTGGGGTACTCCTTAATCGGGAACAGCACCTTTTGTGCCACGCGTATCGGCTTTTCGCTGTACACGTTGGCATAGATCTCGGGCTTTGGTATGCGCCCGCTGACCAAGATCTTCTCCACTTCTACGAGGGCGTGAAAAAAGAATTAGATCCAGTTTAACAGGTCTTACGTGTCCCAGTCGGGGCCAAGACTCACCGTCGTCGAGCAGCCGCTTAGTAATAATATGCTTCTTCTCGAGCGTCTTCTTCTCTAGTAGGCACTCCTGTAGATAGGCGTTTGTCTTCTCATTCAGTTGGGGCGTGTCCCGGAGGGCGGCGTGGCTGGTCGTGTGTCCACCGGAGTCTGCCTCCGGAGTTTCCGGGGCACCGGTCGCCGCTGGCTCCTCGTCGCGTCGCTTCCGCTTATAGTCGGCAGCATCCTCGTTGTAGTCCCTGTCATAGTCGCGTGGCATTGCGGCTTCGTCTTTTTCTCTGCCTAGTGGAAGCGTTAGTCCTGAAAGTCCAATTGTTGGGGAAAAAATTCTGCTCCAGCAGAATTAGTTGGCTGAAAAAATATGTATGTGGTAGCCCGGATTCGATAGTAGTTTGGTAGTGATGGCTGATGGCATTTTCGATTGCAAGCACATTAGCCGCTAGAAAAAAGCTAGGATTAGTTCCAGCTGTAAAAAAATAGCTAATCTTATGAACCATTTTTGACAAATAATTTTATTTGACTGGTATATTGCTTATGATCATAAGTCATCTTAGAAAATAAGCTACATATGTCATTTTTATGACTAAAATGTAAACCGTTTATGTACATTCAAAAAATATTTTCAAAATTTTAACTCTTTAACTCTGAAAATGAAGATAAGAAATTTGCGTTTATAAATGACGAAACATTAAGAAACAAAAATACTCTTCTTTGGTAAGTATTATAATAACGTTACAAATCTGTGGATAAGATCTGTTTATATATAAATTACATATATGTATACTTTTAAAAGATATCTGGTCCTTCTCCATTCTTAGTCAGACCTATTGACTTGAAGTCGTTACGCTCACAGAGCCGATGAAACCGATTGGCGCTTAACAGCACCACCGATTGTCGACTAACAGCACGCTGCAAAAGCACGAGAGACCGGAGTTGCCGGACCGCACTGTTAACATAGTAAATGTCCGAATAAAATACACACTTGGAAAAAGAGAGAAAAATTAGGGCCACTGGGAAGGCTGAAGTGTGCACACTTGGCAATCGAACAGAATCGACAGCAAAAGCGACCGCCCGCAATCCGCGCAAGGAAATCCCGTGACTCGGCTACTTAGCAGGACGACAGAGCGATCCCGAAGGCAGGAACAAATGGCGGAGAACGGACTGCGTGTGCCAGGGTCATCCGCGGTGGCCTCTTCGGTGACCACCACGGCGGCGGGGGCCGGAGGCGGCGGATCAGTATCGGCGGCGGGAACAGGGGCAGGAGTGGTGGCCACCGGCAGCAGCGGGGGCACGAGCAACGGGGAGCACGAGAATGAACACAGCGCCAATGCGGACAGCGAGAAGGTCCAGCCGGCGCCGGCGGTTCAAAAGTACATGCAGGAGCTCATGACGGAGCGGTCGCGCATGGAGAATCACTTCCCCCTGGCGGTGAAGCTGATCGACGAAGGTGGCTAATTGATTTGTCCCGGTCTCGTCATTGTACTTAACACGTTTCCTCTAATGTCTTGCAGCCCTTGAGCGTGTGCAGCTTAATGGACGTATCCCCACGAGAGACCAGTACGCCGATGTCTACCAGCAGCGCACCATTAAGTTGACCCAAAAGGTGCACGTGCCCATCAAGGACAAGAAGTTCAACTATGTGGGCAAACTACTCGGCCCCAAAGGCAACTCGCTGCGTCGCCTGCAAGAAGAAACGCAGTGCAAGATCGTCATTCTCGGCCGTTTTTCGATGAAGGACCGCGCCCGCGAAGAGGAGCTGCGCAACTCCGCGGACGCCAAGTACGCCCACCTAAATCTTCCGCTGCACGTCGAGGTGTCCACTATTGCTCCGCCCGCCGAGGCGTACGCCCGAGTGGCCTACGCTCTGGCCGAGATCCGGCGCTATCTCACGCCGGACAAACATGACGACATCCGCCAGGAGCAGTACCGCGAACTCATGGAGGATCCGGAAGCGGCCAAGAAGCTGACGCTTCGACAACTGCAACAGCAATCGAATGCTGCGGCCAGTGGAGGCGGCGGCGGAGGTGGTGGTGGCGGAGGTGGAGGAAACGGAAACGGCGGTGCAGCTGGATCCGGAAGCAACAATGGCAATGGCAACCAGCGCCCCGGCGGCAACTACAGGTGGGTTCAAGTTCGATTTTGATCTATCGTCAAACTGAAGCTGCATTTTTCCAACAGGCAAAAGTTTCAGCAACAATCACACTATCGCCACAACGAGGAGACTGTCTACTTTCGCTCACACAACAACGCGTACCACCAGCCAAAACCCTATGTGCCAGGTGAGTCCGGTTGCTCTAATGCCTATTTTGTCTAGACACTATCTCCTTGTTCTTGCAGCCGCCCAGCGGGGCAATGCCATGCACACCACCTTGCCACCGCAGACGATTGTGCGAGCCTCACCGCCCGGAATGGTCGTCAGTGCGGCCAGTTTCAACGGCCGGAATGCCGGGCTGGGCAATGCCGGCGGTGGCGGGATCATGGCCAATAGCATCGTGGCCACCGCTGGTGGCGGTGTGCCGCCCAATATGCGCTACCGTCCCGCTGCCCCATACCAGTTTGTCAAGAAATAATACAGATGGGAGGATGCACCGCCCGCTGCCGTTCGCTGTTTGTTCAACTATTCCTCACCGTCATTAATGCCTCATCCGGAAGTATTCACGCCCATCCCTCATGCCCATCCAACCACCTACGGCCACGCCCATACCACCCACACACAGCTCCAAAGGTAGATGTAGTAACGATGAGAACATTGGAAACTTGTCATGCATTAATTTCACCAAGATTTCGGCAGGGTGGAAACCAAAACGAAACGAATGAGTAAATGTATGTTTAAGAAAACTAGCCTAAGTAGACGAATGCTCCGAGGAATAGACGAACACCTCAACATGAAGAACACGACCCAACCAAAAACCAAAATCAACAAACCGACCAGACAAACACCCACCACCCCACACGTACGCCAGAATTCCTACTCCTCAAAGATTTGGGCTTAAAGGATTACGACGGTCTGGGATCTGGGGACTTTGGAACCCGTGTGTTGGGCCCTGCGAGCATTTGGGAAAAGAAGAACGAAGAAGGAGAAGAACGCCTCGATATTGGATCGGGCCGAATCGAATGTAATGGAATTCAGGGATGATCCCAGTCGAGCTGATGTCCTTGTTTTGTTTTGTCGTATATTATTTACATTTTATATTTTACCACTGACGCATGCAAAGACTTCATCAATTTCTAATTTATATCAATGAATATATATATCTCCTTTATGTTTACTATTACATGTATCCTCCCCACAGTCGCTTAATCCAATCGCTTTTCCAACTCTGCGTTTAAGTTTATCCTATTTTTTGTTTTAATGCATTTTGTGTTACGTTTACGTTTAGAAGAGGAGGCTTTTTATTTTTATTTGTTACGTCGCCAGGACAGAAAAATAATTGCAAACGATCATAAATAATATATATAACAAGTATATAACATCGATATGATTTACTACACATAGTGCATATGCAACACGACACGATCACACGCGCGTACGTATATTCAAAGCATCAGCATATTCACGTAAAACCTTAAAGTTTAAACCAAATGAACATTAGAATCGCATCGAGTATCTGCAACATAGATCGGCGCAGAAGACCGACTTCGCCTACGATAATGCAACCACATCCGATCAGAGAAGAAAAAGCAAACACACATACATACATACATAATTGTTATTGTTGTTGAAAGCAACTAAAATTGTAATAGAAATTATGCAAATATACATACGAATATGACGACAAATGTTAATTGCAGCCTAGTTATTATTTTATTTGTCCACATCCATACCGAAACAAAACCTAAGATATATTCGTATATAGAAAGAGTGCAGCCTGCGGATCAGCTAAACCTTGTTCACGATGCTTCTGAATCCACAAAACACACAAAAACTAAACCAAACTCGATTTTGTATTGATTTCGAACATTGAAAACAGCATGTAAACCCCATACACATAAATGTGAAAGTACGAAACTATATATTTTACAGTGCATTATTATGTATTGCTGATTATCGTTAAATAAATTTCCAATTTGAATTCGCCATGTTGAATACGCAAACAGGTAGTCCTCCGTTTTTATTTTTGCTAGGAAAAAGCTTTCGGTTTGGTTCTTTTAAAGAAACACGTTAAAATGCATTCCCTTTACTTACTACTTGATGCCATAAAATATAATGTCATGATGAAAGATATAATTTTTTAGTTATTTTACAAAACGCATCGAAACTAAAAGACACTGCTTTAATTTACAAGAAAACCGTTCAGTGTTTAACAAATCATTAGTTTTATTGGCTAACAAATACAGGATATTCCCATCTACAAGGCCCTCACCAGCTGCATCAGCGAGTAGGGATTCTTGTTGCTCATGAATTTCAGCTGCTCCTCGAATCCCTGCGGTGTCTTGTTGATCCAGTGACGGTCGAGATAGTAGTTGATGTAGCTGTGGAACTCCTTGTCCGTGTAGTTCTCCACGTGGATGGGGACGAAGGGGTCCAGGTGCTCAAATCCCTCCTTGCCGAGCAGGTAGCGCGGCAAATAGGAGTCCATGTAGCCTTCGGTCATGGCGATCTTGTCCACGGAGAGAATGCACACGCCGTTTGTCCAGTCGTAGCTGGTGATGTCGAGGAAGGGCTGGGTGAGTGTGATCCGATCCGGAGTGACGAGTTGCTTGTTGTCGGAGAAAATGCGTGTGATCGGGTGAAAGAAGGCGTTGAACCCGTCGATGGCCACCATTACTTTGCACTGACCAGCGGTAGATAGCTGCTTGAGTTCCGCGATGAGTGCCGCCGTGGTCTCCGAGGCGTACTTTATTCGAGCTATCCCGTGCTCCACCAGTTCGATAAGCGAGGAGCCCGCCGGCGTGCTCTCGCGCTTGCTCCACACGTACTCTTTGCTGGTCTTCAGCTGCAGCCGCTGGAGGAGCTGGGCGTTTTGGTTTTTAAAGTGCACCAACCAGGCGGCTGCGTCGAAGGGCAGATCGATCATGCCCTCTTGGCCGGCTGCGTTGGACGACTCCTTGGGTCGCTTCATCCAGTTGGGCGCCCAGGGCACATGGACGAGCAGGAAGTCGTTCAGCACTCCATAATGCAGGACATGGGCCATGGTCAACGTTTTTCCTGTGCCGTTTTCTCCGTAAAGCACATATCGCACCACAGGCTTGGTCAAATCGGAGTCTTTGATGTACTGCAGCAGTTCCAGCGCAGGATTTCGGACCATCAGACAAGCCTCCGTAAAGGTTTTGATCTGCTGTTCGTACTGCTTTGGTAGGCCGCCCCCGGAAAATATCTGCTTCTTTTGTTCCGCGGGAATGGTGTAAAACTTGGCCAGCTGCACCGCCGAATGCTCTCCGGGATTGGTGACCGCCGTCCGGAACTCACTGATGGCTCCTAGTTCCGTCGGAGCCGTTGCCGCATTGGTGGACATATGGTGGACGTGGCGCTGGATCTGGGAGGAGACGCGCGACAAGTTTCCCAAGCGATTTCGGATCATTTTCATTGAGAAAACGTTAAATAAGACCTGGAAGCCGCCGAGCTAAGCACATATGGTGACTATCGGCGTACCTAATCGATAACGAACGAGGGCTGCATGCAAACTATGGGCAGTCGATGGTAAAAGTTTATTTACATGTGATGTGCCGAATATTGCAGTCGTCTGGTGGCGGATTATTGAAAATACGGTCACTCAGATCCGAATTTGTACTACAAATCGCATCTTTAATTGTTAATAACAAAAAAACGGTGCAAAATATTCACTCTCCGCCAACGAATTTCGAAGTTTTAGAAAAAAACACATCCTTTCCATATTTTACTTTATTGTTTAAGCTGATTTACCGTGCAACGCACTTGTAAACAATTACCCTTTAATTCGTATTTTGCGTAGTTTAGAAAGTCATCCTCGTCTAGAGAGTCCTCTTCCTCATTTCGCGGTGTATTCTGCATACGGTTTTGTCGATCCAGCTTGTTCAGTTCATCCCTCTTGGTTAATTCGTATTTTGAGTAGTTTAGAAAGTCCTCCTCGTCTAGAGAGTCCTCTTCCTCATTTCGCGGTGTATTCTGCATAAGGTTTTGTCGATCCAGCTTGTTCAGTTTATGCATCTTGGTTAATTCGTATTTTGAGTAGTTTAGAAAGTCCTCCTCCTCTAGAGAGTCCTCCTCGTCTAGAGAGTCCTCCTCGTCTAGAGAGTCCTCCTCCTCAATTCGCGGTATATTCTCCATAAGGCTTTGTCGAACCAGCTTGTTCAGTTCATCCCTTTTGGTGCGTTTAAAAAATCCAAACTAAAAGAAAATGACATGAGTGTAAACAGAAATTCGTTGTTAATACTCCTATAACACGAACCTTAAAAAGAGCATAGGTTATTGCCAAGAACAACAAAAGACCACCGATTATGGACAAAATTATAAGCCCGATGGGGAGTTTAGTCTCCAAAGGCTTGAATATAACATTTGGTTCGATTTTACGATTTATCACAAAAGTGCTTGATGTGGGGTCGTCCTTCTTGATCAGTTCGAGGTCTGTCATAATAACAAAGTAATTCCAGGGATCCTTCACTTCACTTAGATCCACAATAAAGCTTATGCTTAGGTTAATGACCTTATCCGGGATAAATCGAAGGTTCATTTCGCCCCGGACGCAAATTGTCGTATTAGTTTCCCGGCACTTAAACACAATGGTGCGATTCATGGGTAGATCATGTTTTCCAAAATTTGATATTTGGGCATATGGCTCTTGAATAGAGGTGGAGCCATTAATATCCCTTCGGTTTCGTGAGTGCTGGCCCTCGATTGGGTACAAATTGAGCTGGGTATTATTCTGATCGAACAGCTTAATGGGCAACAAATGGGAATCGTAGGTGGCATGCGCCTTTAGGCTACTTATACTAATGATGGGTATAACTGCTAAAGATTCTGAATCTCTATATGCTATAGGGAAGTTAAAGAGTATTGTCAATTCTTCGATAACACTGGGACCATTGCTTTTGATCTCGTAATTGTTTATAATTTCGGCAGAGTATGGATACTTTTCCAAAACACTTCGATCGTTCGCTTGACCACTAAGAACAAAGAAATTAATTATGAATAAATTCAGAAATAGTTAGATCTTACCCGCTGACATCGATTTCGGTAAACTCCTTCAGGTCGATTACATCCGTTTGTTTGTTGTCCTTGGAATTCATCTCGATACCAGCACTAAAAACTTCGGCATCTATGATCAGGGACTTACCACTCAGTTGGCTCACATCGAAACTGATGGTAATGGAATCGTTATCACGTTTCGCCAAAGGACGTCCATGGTTAAGGTCGCATATCATAGCCAATTCAAAGATCTTGCAGTTTCCTGGGATCTGAGCAAACGGCAGGTGGAGAGAACTGGTCACGTTGAATTGAGTCTGATAGGCGTTTTCTCCTTTGTTGGTGATCTGGTAACTCACACGAAGGATATCAGTGGTACCCAACACGAGAATAGGCCTAGAATAAAATGGTTAAAATGTATTAAATAAATTTAAGATCTCAAATATTTGCCCACCTGATTTCCCGGCTCTTCAGCTCTAAATCAACGTCGCAAACATCTTTTTTACAGCCGTTGGAGAAAGTAATTTGATCCGTTGAAACCGTAGGATCCATGGGATCTACAACCGCACAGGCTTCGCAGAATTCTGTTAATTATAAAATCTTTATCAATATAATAATTACTTCCAAAACCTTTTTACTTACCTCCCGATACTGGAATTTTTCTGGCCAGCTCGAAGTGCATCTCGAGATTAATGGCGGTGAATATGGCCTTCCGTATCATTTGAACCTCAAAGTGCCGGCATTGCTCTTGGAGACCCGCATTCGCTTTAAAGAAATGCAGGTTCTCGAGAAACATAACTCTACGAAGTTTCTTATCGATGGCAATCCGGATGTCAATCTCTTGCTCCATCAGCTCCTTTGAATCGTGAGTGGTGCTCAGTCGGTAGCAGGCGGAGATATTTAACTTTTCCTGATCCGGTTTTATCTGTCGCGATTCCGACTTGATTGCGGCATGTATTTTCACCACGGGATAGGAGCGGTACAGATAGGAGACTTCCGCATTGGGGGCTCCGATGACAAAGTCATTGATTCCGTTACCATCTATGTCCAATCCGCGCGAGAGACCGTGTCCGAACATGTGAGATCCGTACTCGGAAAACTGATGGTTAGGATCATCAAGTCGCTGGCTCGGCTTGTCCCCCAATCCTTTTTCGCTGCCTAAGTATATAAACACCGATCCGTTTCCGAGAAAGGGAGCACCCACGGCCACATCTGCATTTAGTCATTTTATGTTATAACATTTACGATAAAAAAGCTGGTCGTATTTATAACTAACCATTAAATCCGTCGTGATTGATATCGCCGAGAGGCGAAAGAGTTGTTCCAAAACGAGCGTAACCACTCACTGGCGATTTTACAGTCGTCCGCTCAAACTTTAGCTGCGATAAAATGCTTCTTTAACGGAGCTTCGGTTTTTTAAAGTCATAACTCACCAGACCCTGGTTGATAAACACATAGATGACGCCATTCTCGCGGGAATCTTCGAAAGCATTTAAGGGTGCAGATATGATGAGGTCTGTTTTTCCGTCTCCATTGAGATCTTCTGCCAGAACGGAGTAGCCAAAATATTCGCCGAACTGCCTTCCCCGGAAATATTGCAACTTTCGGATGGTTTTTCCTCGAACATCGAAGATAAAGGCCTCTCCGAATCGCATGTTGGCCTGAGGAGCAGTGCCTACGTAGAGGAGAGTCGATGGATTCGCACTGTCAAAATAACCAGAAGCGACTGCATAGCCAAAGTAGGAGTTATCCCTTTGCTGCCACGTTCTGGGCATGGGAACGGAGGTTTCACTGTGACCGGGAAACCCGTGTCGGTCTACTATCACCGAACCCTTCCAGTTGTGGATGCCTGGAGCTCCCATCAGGAAAGTTGAGTTATCCCTGGCCACATGGGCACTGAGTCCTAGTTCGCCCATTAGGAATAAGGTAATTGTCCTATTGGTCAATTGCTCTTTTTTCGAGCGAAGTGGAGAGATAACGTTCACATTCTCCGGTTTGCTGCTCAGTGTGTTTTGAACCCAGTAGCAGATTCCGTGAAGATGGTAGGCCGATAAAGTGGGCGCATAGAATCGAGGGGCACACGCGATAAGCTTATCCGTATCCCCGGTGCCACCGTCCATCGCTCCGCCCAGCCACTGAAAGTCCTTGCGCTTTGAGTCATAGGTGTCCCCTTTGTCGGGGGCATTTACATTTCCCTCGGAATCCAAGACATACGGAGTACAGTCACCTTCCACCAGGGAGCACCGATATATCGCACCAGTCTCGTTGATGGTGCTCTGTGACTCCAATGTGGATTGAGCTCGTGGAGCTCCTACTATGACGCTGTAAAGAAAAAAATTTGTGGTTGAGGTTAAAAAAAAAAAAAACTTATAAGATAAGTTAATTTCACAAATCTAGCTATCACACAGAAAAACCATCTAAATTATTAAAAACCTTTTATTTAAATTTTTAAATACTGTAATCTTCCCTCAATTTCAATGTTGAGATAACAAACTAAAATGTGCATAAGCCATTTGGCAGAATAAAAAAAAATATTTAATTCTTGTAGTTCGATGCCCTGTTCATTTGTTTTATAACAATTTCTTCTTAATCCAACATCACGATAATTGCAACTCACCTTTTTGGACGGATAACTAACGAGAATCCAAAGTAGGAGCTCCTCGTTGGATTTAAGTGTGTCTTTAAATGTTTTGGGTGATTTATCACTAGGTTCGGATATGGTGAAAAATTAAAGGCTTTGATTTGGCTTTGAAAGCCCAAAAATATGAGAAAAAGAACGCCTTTCATTTAAAAATAAGATATGTCAATATAAGAAATAAATATAAATCTGGATTGTTAAAGTCTTATGGCGCGACTCGTCATTCGAAGATGTTCACTGTATAAAGGCTGGGAACTCACTGAGAAGAAAGGCTTACATCACTTCAACAGCTTAAGAATTGGCTCCACTTTTATCTATAGCATTGACCTTAAGTTATCAGTTTTGAAACTTCTTTATTTCCGCTGCAGAAAGTTAGACTTTCAAATAAACATTGCATCGAAGTTGACAAAATTCTTACAGATATTAAAATTTTATATTAGGCTTTATAGTCAATTTAAATTTGTATTAAATACGTCATATTAGGACTGAACTAGTTAAAGTTTTTTATTTTTTTTTTTGTTTTATAGTGGAACTCCCAAAAAATTGTATGGTGAAATAGCTTTTCTTTTTGTTTTTGATATTTTTGCATTTGATTTTTATTCAGGTTTATGCAAAACTTATTCCTCCCTTTTTTAAGTGTATTAACTGTATGTTTCGGTACCCCTAAAAAAGTATTTTTAGATATAAACAAAAATCGATAGAAATCGATAGCTTTCGTATTGCTACGCTGCATCCCTGGTTGCAGCCCGGTAAATTTGCGCCTTTGGTGAAATTATACTTTATAGGAACTACCAGCTTTTGCTGAGGGTGGAAAATGTCATCCATTGACAAGTTATCTATACAGGGAGTCCGCAGCTTCGGTTCGAATGCCGAAGACCTTCAGGTAAGAACTGCTTGCAAATGTATTGATTTTATAAAACCTGTTGATGTCCCCGCGTCCCGTAGAGTATTACGTTTACATCGCCGGTTACCTTGATTCTGGGCGAGAATGGGTGTGGAAAGACGACTATAATAGAGTGTCTCAAGTACGCCCTGACCGGCGAATGCCCTCCGGGAAGCGACCGCGGTAAAAGCTTTGTCCACGACCCCAAGATCTTTGGGTTGAATGAATGCTTGGCGCAGATCAAGATGCAGGTGCGCGACAAAAGGGGCGCCCAGGTTTCTATTTGCCGCACGATGAAGGTGTCCAATAAGCGCAACAAAGTGTCCTTTGAGACGATGGACTCCACCATTAACTTCCTCACGGGCGCCGGGCAATCGAAGCGCGATAATCAGGACTCCTTGAGCGGTCGCACAGTGGACATTGATGTGGCCATTTCGGACTTCATGGGTGTCTCGAAGGCAATCATTAACAATGTTCTGTTTTGTCACCAAGAGGACTCTAGTTGGCCGCTGGACGAAGCTAAAAAGTTAAAAGAAAAATTTGATGCTATATTTGGGATTACCGAGTACAACAAGGCCTTGGATAAAATCATAAAGATGCGCAAGGCAGCCGTGGATGAGTTGAAGGTTATGGGTAAGCTATATTCACATAAAGAGGTGGATTCTTTGGTTTATATACAACCTTTTCACAGATGCCAACATGAAGCATGTGAAATATCTAAAGGAGGAAATGGAGGCTAAAACTTTGAACTTGCAAAAAGCTCAACAGAAATGCGACGGCATAAACGCGCAGTGCAAGGAATGCGATGAGGAAATGAAACCCATTGACGCAAGGCTAGTTGAAATTCGAAACGTAGAATTCGAAGTTGGCAAATATCAAGCACAAAAAGTGGAAATGGACACAAAGTAAGTAATAACATAATTATTTGCAAACAAATCAAACTTGTAATAAAACAACAGGCACAAGAACTGCAAGGATCAGATCTCCAACATAACATGGAAGATTAAGAACCTGTTTAATGGTTCTTTGGATGAATTGGAAATAGAGATCAACAACTTTGATCAGCGCATGCTGGAAATGAAGCAACAGCGCTCAGAGGCGGAACAAGGTCTAACCCAGCTTAAGAAAGCCAGTGCAACTGAGCAGGAAAAGTTGGGCACGCAAGACAAGAGGCTTTGCCTGGCCAAGCAGCGTCACCAGAGTGAACAGGCTTGCAAAACCCAGCTTTTGAAGCGAGTCAAGGACTTCTGCCGGGAACTGCAGATCCCCATCGATGATGACCTAGCGGAGAAGACCGAGAAACTAGCCAAAGTGCTGCAGGACATCGAGGATATGATTATGAGCAAGCATTGCGAAATCGCCGAGATCGTCGAGCAGAACGACAAGGCCGATCGAGGCAGACAGGCTAAGATAGACCAGCTGCGCATTGAGCTTACTAAGTCGGAGCAGAGCGTGGCTGCACAGGAGAAGCAAAGGGAGGCCAGCCAACGCGAGAGCGAATCACTTGGGGTTGAGATAAAAAAGATCGAAACCTCTATGCTGGAATTAAAGAAGCTGGAGAAAGAAATAGCCGATGTAAATGAACTGTACGAGAACGCTACAAAAGATTTGGACCAGCAGGCTATAAAAGAGGCCATAGCCAGTAAGAAAAGCAGCATCGCCGAGAAGCAAAAACTATTTAAAAAACTGGACGAACAATTAACATTCCTAGGCTCAATGGCCAAGCTGGTTGCCGAGATTAGTCTCAAACAAAAAGAGCTAGAAAAAAAGAACCAGGAAGTCCACCGCTTACGAAGTCGGCACGCAGATAATTTTGCTAAATTCTTTGAAGACCCCATTAACAGCAATTATCGCCGTTCGATGCAGGGAGCCTACGAAAAACTTCGCCGTGAGATTAACGATCTCAACGAGAAAGCCAACGCGCAAAAGCTCAAGGAGCAGAGATGTGAGATCCAGCGCAAAAATCTTATATCCGAGATTTCGCGCATGGAGAAGGAACTCAAGGAGAGCGAAGAATTAATATATCAAAAGTGTCACTCAACTCCGTACGATGATTTGATAGAGCGAAGCAAAACGGCAATTTCCAAACTGCAGTTCGACCATGGTGCCCTAAAATCATCTGAGGCTCTTTATAAAAAGTGAGTTTCGAAAGAAAATTTATTAAACTATTCATTTAATACTGGTTAATCCTAGGTATATTCAAAAAATAGACGAAGAGCCGTGTTGCCCTTTATGCCACCACAACATGTCTGGTGATGAAGCATGTGATTTGACCACCGAGCTGACCGACGAGATCCAAAAGTTGCCCGATAATATCAGCAGAGCTGAAAAGGCCTTGAAAGCAGAGCAGTTGAAGTATGATAACCTATTGCAAATCAAGCCCAACATTCAAAAGGTAAAAGATCTTAACAAATCCTTGCCCCAGAAGAAAGAGGAACTGAAGAAAGTCGAGGATTTGCTAGGAGAGAGCGTTAGCGAACATGAGACTTTAATTGCTCTGATTGGAGAGCCCACTCACAATATGGAGTTGGCTAACTCCATGATGGGTGACATGACTCTATTGGACGAGGCTTTAAAGGACTCAGTGCGGCTTACAAAAGATTTGGATCAGCAGAAGGTAATGAATATCCGTGTTATTAAGCATATAATGTTTTCATAAATCTAATAATTTATAGGCCAAGTTGCCCGCTTCGTACGATTCAAGTGTCTCAATGGATGCGCTGCAGGCGGAGAAAAGTCAGGTTTCCAGGGAACTGGAGGAGGAACGCAAGGAGTTAGATTTGACTCAAAATGCATTCCAGCAGCAAATGGATGCCCTAAATCGTTTGCGCGAAAAGAAGAATAGGTATTGTTTGCCAGTTCTCTGTTTTCTTCACAAGTTAACCGTGTTCTTTCTTTAAAGCTTGAAAGACAGACAAATTCGCCTGCAAGAAGGTCTTCAAAGTCTGCCACAGTTAAAGGAACGGTTGGATAAGCTCCAAAAGTTTATTTCAACTGCAGCCACAGAAATAAGTGAATTAAAGGCCAAAATTCAACCTCTGAAGCAGAATTTAAGGACTGCGTTAGAAGAAAAAGAGCGTTTGAAAGAAATCGAAAGGGTAAAATTGGCTCAGTTGAATAACAAGTATAATTCCTATAAAAGCACAGATCAGGATATTCAAAGGTAGATAGACAAAAAAAAAAAAAAAAACTATTGCAATTTCTAATCTTGCTATTTACTTTTCAGATTAAATAAAGAAGCACAGGACTTTGCCAAATTGGATCTTCAGAATGAAATCATGAAACTTGATGAAAACATAAAGGGCACCAAAGACAAACTAAGGAAATTGGCAAGACTTTAAATTGTTACCACTAAACGAACCATTAAACTAACATTTAGTAAATTTTTAGGATATCGAAATCTCTTTAAAAACTGATGAATTAGAGACGGTTAAAACTGAATGCCTCAACCAGCAGACCGTTGAAAGAGATCTAAAAGACAATCGCGAGCTGAAACAGCTTCAGGAGAAGGAAATGAAGCTCAGTGAGAGTTGTAAGACGCTGGACAAAAAGCTGGGTAACTTAGACTTCCGCAGCGTCAGCAAGGAGAAGGTTGAACTGACTAAGCAACTGGATAAAGCCAGAGTCCGCAAAGGAGAGCTGTTGGGTCAGCTGGGCGAGATAAACAGCCAGGTTAACAAGTTAAAGCGGGAAATCGATGAGCCCAGATTTAAGGAGTCCCTTAAGAACTTCCGAAAGGCCAACTACGAGCTGATGATTACGAAAATGAGCATCGAAGACTTGGGCCAGCATCGTCTGGCCTTGGAGTGGGCTCTAATTCAATTCCATGCTGAGAAAATGGAGAAGATCAACCGACTGATCCGCGAGTACTGGCGCATGATTTATCGGGGCAATGACATTGACTACATCCAGGTAAAGACTGACGAGGTCAGCACGGATGCTTCGGCGGATAGACGGAAAACCTACAACTATCGAGTCGTTCAGTCGAAGAACAACACGGAGATTGAAATGCGTGGACGCTGCAGTGCTGGTCAGCGCGTCCTGGCATCCTTAATTATCCGTTTGGCGCTGGCCGAGACATTCAGCAGTAATTGTGGAGTCCTAGCGTTGGATGAGCCGACCACCAATTTGGATCGCGTCAATATTACTTCTCTGTGCGATGCCCTCAACTGCATCGTGGAGGAGCGTCAGACCCAGTCGAACTTTATGCTAATTGTCATTACGCACGACGAGAACTTCATTTCGTCGTTGGGCAAGATAACCAACTATCATCGTGTCTTCCGCAACGATGAGTGCAAATCGGTCATACGAAAAGTGCGGATCGGTTGAGTTGTCGGACTATTAGAAGTGAATTTCCGGCAAATTTTTATACTTTGTTTTTATTGTTAAGAAAAAAATTATAATTAATGTTAAAATATACTTTATATTTTCTTAAAAGTTCACTTTCAAAGTAGGTCATAAAAGTCGGTCCAGCCATTTCAGAGAATCGCTATCACATGTGTTATCAATCTAGGTGTTTGCTTGTTAGTTCATCAAATCAATTAGAGATATTATTAATTGCCTATAAAGGAGTGAATTCAAAGACTGATGAGCTTCAGTAACAGACAGTATGTGTGGACCATGGTTACTGGCAGTTCTTCTGCCCCCAGAGCTTTTGTGCTACTCCATTCAGTTTGGTATGATGCACCACCTTGCAGTTCCTATTTATGAGATTGAAATATATTCAGGGCAATTTGGTGATTATGTGGATGTGGAGTACAAGCAAAAGGTATTTAAAATTAAATTGATTTATTTAAAATTTTCTTAAATATTTTATACAGTCTAGCCTTAGTTTTTATATAAACCTGATTTTGGTCATCGATGAAAGTCAAATGGAATGGGGAGGTCAGGCAGCCGTTCTCACTGGCGGAATAGGATACAACTTTACCACCTTGAGATTGTCTTATGTACAGCCAGAAGTAGCAAAAGTGACAGTGCTCATCTACGGGCTTCCGAGGTAGAATCTGAGTCACTCATACGTACTCTAAATCCTAATCAGTCTTTGTCTTTTCTGGCCACAGAAGCACTCCAGTGGTAACCATCATCGGGCAGATCGCTGCGAATCAGTGGCGATAACCAGGCTATATGCATGCGGTTACCAAAAACACTTCTCAGATTCTGGTGGATCCCTCGATCGTACTTCTTTTTCCTCTCTTTTGTGCGATCTGCGGAAACGCCGCCTCTCAGAACGATAGGAACATGGTATCCCAATAGAAGAACTCCGTAAGCCAGGGCCAAAACATTTAGGCTGTAGAAGAGCAGGTATAAGTTGCTCCACAAGTTGCCCGTTACTAGAAGGAGCATCGGACAGGTCAGCTTGAGCAGCGTCAACCAGTTGCAGTAGATGTGCCCCTGGATGACCCACATGTATATGGAGTTGTACACCAAAGCGTAAACAGATCCCACGAACAGGTAGAATATGAAGCCCATGAAGAAGCGATGGTTCTTCAGTCCAATGCAGCAGCCTGTGTAGATGCAGTGGTGATCCCGCTTGAGAATGCAAACCTTGCAGATCTTGCAGTGCCACGATCTCGGTGGAGACAAACGCTGGCATTCGCCGCACTCCCGCCAGTCCGATTGATCCACTGGTGGTTCCACTTTTTCACTATATAAAGTAAAGGAATTTAAACGGGTTCACTAATAGGTGAAGGCTTCAGCTCACCGTCAACACTAGTGTCGATCATCATGCAGGCAATCATGTTTCCCTTGATATTAAACACTAGGAACATGGCCATCACGAAGGTGAAGGTGTGGAGAAAGCCGCCGGGTTCGTGGAAAGCGGGCAGCACCACCACAATCTCGAATAGGAAAACAACCGGCAGAAAGACTCCAATGATCAGGAAGCACAAGATATCCACCAGCCGGCGGGGCAGTGGATTGCTACGGATTCTCATGATCCCGGGTGACTAATGGATGTAAACAAATGAGACCCGATCGCGGAGTAACCAGAAAGAGAACTGATTTCGCAGTCGGTTCGCTGTGTCGTCACGTGCGGTGGAGCTTTCACTTATCAAGCTTTTGGTGGGCAAAAGCTAGCGAGGCGCCAACGAAAAAGCTCGTTTACTCAAATCGTTGGGGCGAAAAGTTCATGCTTCACTCGATTAAGTTGTTTTAACCGCCTTCCCGAGTTCAATATAATTTGATAAACTCTAAAGCTAACAGAGTTAAAGTTTGATATTGAACGCGTGGCAGCGTAAAACTGTGGCAATGCACTTATCTTATCACGCCGGGGCCACACGTCGTATGCTTGATGGCATGTAACATGCATATATGTATACGCACATAAATGCCGAAGGCAAAGGGGGAAATCGGGAAATTAATTAACTTGAAAGGATTCACTCCGTCACAAATCAGAGTAATCAAGGTAAAGCCTTAATTACATGGGTCTTTAATACGTCTGTTGACAGCTGAACGATTGCAATATCAAGTATTTATGCTGGTGTCGAGGGACATTAAGTAACCAGTTAAAAATGGAATTATCGGTGTCAACCAGACCGAAAAGGCAAGGATCCTGGGTGTTCCTGTTCAAGAGCTTCGCCAGGAGTCTGCGGCAGTTTCTCAATGAGACGGGACTGCATGGCCTTAAATTTGTGGGCGATTCACGACTCAGCAGCTGGGAAAGGTGGGATTATTATTAAAGAGTTGTTTAAAAAGAAATACACGGCTTAATCTTAAGTGCTTTTTTTAAATAATATTAAACAGATTACATAATACATTAATCATTTATTTGCCAATTACAGAACCTTCTTTTTTGGTTCCTTTGTTACCGCTTTGATAATCACAGTTCATCTAATATCGAACATCTACGTCAAGTGGGACAGCACTCCGGTGATAATTGGCATCAGCCCACATGCCACTTCTATTTTGAAAGTACCCTTTCCGGCCATCACCATATGCAACATGAACCAAGTGCAAAGGAGCCTGGTGGCCAATTACAGAGAGTGAGTTCTGTTTTCTGTTTATGTAAATATCCCATCCATCATGTTGGAATTAAATTATATTTCTAGGGGTTCCAATGAAAGCGACCTTTTGAAACTTTTGTGTGACTCCGATAGCTGGCAATTCAGTGAGTTTGATGAGGAGCTTTCTGCTTCAAATTTCACCAGGAACGACCTTCGAATATCTGACTTTGTTTCAAAACACTCGCAACCCTGCGAGAGAATGCTGCTCTACTGTAGATTCAGTGCCGAGGAGCGAAACTGTTCGGATTTGTTTCAGCAAATCCTGACGGATGAGGGACTCTGCTGCGTTTTTAATTTTCAGCCGCCAGAAATTCTCTACAAGCCATTGTTCGTAAATACCAAATCTTTTTTTTAAACAAATAAATTAAATTTAATTTTCATACAGTGCAAATAGTTCTAGGAATTTGACGAAAGAGAATGGTTACGAAAGTGTCATGTGGGATCCGGAGGCAGGATATCCTGAAAAGTTGCCGCCAAAGTTTTATCCAGTCACATCAAGTGGTAAAAAATTTGTTAAACAGCTTGTAAAGTATAAAAAGAAATACTTGCTTTTAAAAAAAAATATATTTTAGGAACTGGCATTACTTTGGGATTTACTGCTGTTTTAGATGCTGAGATGAGTGAATATTTCTGCTCCTCAACTAATGGACCAGGCTTTAAGGTAAGCCAATAGAATCTTATATACATTTTCTTCAATTTAATTAATTTAATTTTTTCAGGTTTATTTCCATAACCCCGTTGAGGTTCCCATGGTAAAGGATACGGGCCTGATCACAGCCATTGGCTACGAGACCAATTATCGCATGGAAATGGTTAGAGCCGAGGCGGTTCCGGCCATTCGATCGATATCCCGCGATGGTCGGCAGTGTCTGTTCAAGAACGAGAAGGAGCTGACTTTCTACACGATCTACACGCGACTCAACTGCGAGAACGAGTGCATGGCGGCGTATCTGTTCGACACCTGTTCCTGCATCCCGTTCGACTATCCGATGATTTACAGCAACGCCAGTACTTGCAGCATGAAGGACACCCTCTGCGTTCGCCGGGCTCAGAGGGCCACTTTCAATCCGGATTGGGTCAAGTGCCGTCAGCAGTGCCTGCCCAGCTGCTTCGATCTGAACTACTTGGCCAGTGGCTTCGCGTTCCCGCTGGCCAACAACAACTTTCAGCTGGCCAACACGCTGGTCGAGAGCATCAACAAGTCCTATCTGAGCGAGAACATTGCCGTGATAAATGTCTATTTTCGGGAGTCCGTCTACTTTGGAAACACCAAGAATGCTTACGTCGGACTGACCGAGTTTCTATGTGAGTAATACTATTTTCCAACATATTCGTAGGTAAGACCTTAAATAGTGGATCCAATTCATGATTAAATTCAAAATTGTTTTTGCTTAACTTCGGTATACAAAATTAGGGATAATCCGAAAGGTATTTGTTTTGAAAGTATTGTAAGCATTAAAGGACAAACCTGTAATCATTCTCACTTATTAAAACTTTTCTATTTCAGCCAATGTCGGTGGTGTCATGGGTCTGTTCATGGGCTTCAGTGTTATCTCCTTGGCAGAGATTCTATATTTTCTGATTCTAAAACCCATTGTGGAGCTATTTGTTTGGAAGTCTTCCCATCATGTGAAACCAGAAAGCAGCCTAAAACATAACGCCTTTGCCATAGAAAACCCCGACCCTGCAGATAAACGAACTATATGGCACACAAGAGAACTATATCCAAAGGGTGTCACATTGAAGTCAGTGGAAAGAGACAGAAAACTTAAGAGAAGTAAAATTGTAACCAATAACTTTATCCATTAAAATTCACAGACGACACATTATTTACATACATGTAATCACAAAGTGCGAATTTTCATGTAATCTGGCATGTCATGCATTACATTGCCTCCCCTGCAATAAAATAAAATGGAAAACATTATGACTGGAGGCAAGTTAATGGTTTTCCCTTTCAGCTTTTCAGTCAGCCAATAAAATGAACAGAATAATTGATTTAAAACACGACTCCACGGACTCGACTGTCAGATTCGATGGACTTGACAGACCTTACTTTTCTATAGCTTATCCGATAGTTCCTATAACTATTAAAGGATCGGAAAAATTAAACAATTGTAGAAAGTAATTAAGCCAATGCTGCAATGAATTAAATTCATTACGATGTGAAACATTTCATAACATTATTTGGATGACTTTTGGGTGTTTCAATTCCTGACGGTGACTGCCTCACACAGAAATAGTTTTCAAAAGTGGAAAATGTACATTTGATTATGAACCAGATATTAATATTCATCATCTGCTAAAAAACAAGATGGTTTCACACAGAAATAGTTTTCAAAAGTGGAAAATGTACATTTAATTATGAGCCAGACTTTAAATTTCATCGTCTGCCAAAAAACGAGACGGCATATGTGAAAGTTCGTTATCGTGCGGTGTTAATAGCCCGATTTAATTTCAAGAGGAAGGTAAACTTTTTGACTCCGTTAAACGGTTTTCAAGAGGAAAGTTTGATGTGTACATACCCAGCCACGCACTCCTTCGCTCATCGTCCAGCCCATCAACTTTTTCCCAGTGGCAAAGCCGAAGGAACTGGAGCAGATGTGCCCGAAATGAAGGTCGGTAATAGAATACCCTAGCGCCTAATGCAATTAACCAAGTTTCCCCGTTAAAGGGGAAGTCCCTCGCGTAAGTTCCTCTGTACTCCGCCTATTTATGCGATATATTTTATGTCAATAAGAGCATTTTGGCTGAAATTACTTTTTGGCCAGGCCAGCCGGTCCGTGGTAAAATACGACTAGGTATATTTGTGTGTGGGCACACAGAACTCAGTAAGGAGTACATTGTATGTGTGTTCCGGCAGTAAAACAAGAATAGCACTTGGACCCCGCACTCCTCTCCTCTTTTTGGCTTTTGAAGATGGCACATTTTTGCGTCGTCTTGCACTTCTGGCGGAAATTCCTTTGCCCGGTGTACATGGCCCGCTTTTCTGAGCGTTAATTGCTGACCTCAACCTGCACAGAAAGCGACTAATTTTCGCACGGTCCTGCGAGTGCTCGTCCTGCATAACTGCATGAATTCTGCGGCCCAGTTTTCACCTTCAGCATCCCCTCTCTCTCTCTCTCTCTTAAACAAAAAGTCTTGGCTTGAAGGAAAAGATGCTGCCCGAGCAGCGGTGGCAAAAACGGAATGAAATGCATTCGCACAGTTGAAGACAATTTGCGAAATTGCATCGCTCTTGATGTTTTCACGTGCATTCCATCTGGTGTTTTTATGGCAAGTCAACAATGTGCCGGTGGCCCGTAGTACAGTACTCCCTTCTTTGCAGAGAAAGTTTTATACGAAATTCTAAATCTAAATCCGTAGCTGGCCTCCTCTGACATCGCATTGAATTCGGTTATCAAATGAATGTTGTTTGCCTTCTGAACTGTTGTTTATCTGTGTCAGCTTATGAGATTATCTTTTTCCCCACATTTATTTGCTTACAAACCGAACCGACAGTCGGACAATTGTGGAATGCACTGTTCTGGGGGCACTTGGGGATTGGGGGATTGGGGGGGTTTGCCATCTAAAACCGAGTACAAAAAGCTTTGCTCTCGACCATCTTTCAAGCGATAAGACAACTGGTGCAAATGATTACGACGTGTTCCCAGGCACACTGGATAACCAAAGAGAGAGGGGAGCATCCTTCTCGCAAGGATGTAACAGGACGACCCCCAGGCAGGAGCTTCGTAAATGTCAGGACCAGAACTAGATTCAATTCTTTATGGCCGTGTTAACGAGCCAATTCTCCCCTGGAATGCCACACAACTTTGGCACTGAATGAAAAATTATGCCATTAAAAACGGCGAAACCGAAGCACAAATAATCCTTAAAGCCAACACTGGTTAGTTTTTTGGGGCAAAAGTTTTGGTCTAAAGTGCGATGGGGGAAGGAAGGAAGTGCACACGAGTAATTAACAGCAAATTTTGTGCCAAAGTTATCAAGTTGACAATAAAGTTTTCCCACTAACTCTATCTTTCCTCGAGGCGCAGCCACCTGATTAAGGTATAAATATTTGATTCTAGTGTGGGCTGATGGGCCGTCTTGACTGTTTTGGGTGTTTCGGGTGTGTTTCGGGTGTGTGTTTGGGGGATAAAAGGGTGTTATGGAGGGTTTCGCACAAGGTGCGACAGCTCCCAAGCATTGTCAACTTTATGGGCTTCCGCTTCCTGTCGCAACCCGTCTCAGTTATGCATGAAGTGTATTCATCAAAAGGTTGTCTCAAAAACGTCTGCGTAAATGCTGCACGTGCGTCGTAGTTGTCAGGAATCGGTGGGTTGAATCGCTGGCTATAATATATAGTATATATGGCCATAGCTAGATGCAAGCCGGAGGAAACAATTCGATCGAATGCCGGGGAAGCACTGCAAAATTACAAACACACCACACACACACCCCGGAGTGAAGAAGAAGAAGAAGAAGATGTAGAAGTTGCATGCGGAAAAGCAATTAAAACTTCTTGTCACTGTCTCGGAAGTGTTTGTTCATATTTTATGATGTTTTCGTGTAGAAAGCTGGATTATGAATGTGTCACCAAGAAGTGTTGTCGCTGCAGATTCCTCCTCTCTCTCCCTCTCTCTTTCTCTTTCTCCCTCTCTCTTTCTCTTTCTCCATTTCTGCTTGGCATGCAACAAGCCGTCATTGAGGTTGAAAGAGTAATGTATAAAATATCACACATCCGACCCGTTGGACAACGGACAACATTCAAGGGGAGTAGAAAGGCATTGGCCATGGCAACTCCATGGCAAAACGGAAATTGTAAACAAAACTTTAAGCTCGGCCTGACCTTTAGATTCGGGCAGTATTTGATTGCATAATTTATGGCATGTTAAATTGGGCCTTCGAACGGAATATGACATTTGCAAAAAGGGGGAGGGGTTCCCCCCACAACTAGCGATGCTTAAGTGCATCGATATGTTCTCAAAGCATTTTGACGTCTGGCACTTTGAAAGCCACATTTGCAGCCAGCTTTGCTGCTATAATATTTCGGCTAATGGAACCCTCCGGCGTTGCAGGTGGCTGTTGCAACCATAATGGCAATCACCTGGTTGTATCCCATATCACAGTGCTCATATTTGAGGGCTCGCCGGCGGCGGGACCAAAAAATTTCGTTGCAAATATGCAAATTTTCAGCGGTGCAGCCCCCGCTGAACCAGCCACCTGGCTAATGCACCAAAATGCATTTGAAATTGTGTAATTTTACTCACACACACACACACGCACGCAGTGCCACAGGCGACATTCCTGGCTTAAAAATGCATTTTGGCTTTTGGATTCGGACAGATAGAATCCGTGGCAACAAACAGTTGCCTGGTTGGTTGGCTGTTTGGCTGGCTGGCTGGCTGACTGGCTGCGTGCTGAATGTTTGAGTGGGTCGGGATAAGCCCGTCAGGCTAAATAATCAGGACCATCAATCAGGACTCCGAGCCCTGCACACCTCATTAGGCTAATCGTACAATTGCGCACGGCCGGACACACACAAAAACATGGGTTAAAACGAACGACAGAGGGGGAGGGGAAGGGGATTTTGGTGGTCTGGAAACCCCGGAGGATTGGAGGAGGGCTTGGGCCTAACCGCACCGCAATTTGCCCTCATGCGCTAAACAATATTTCATTTTTAAGAGTTGACTTTTCACGCGCGCCGACAGCAGGCTTAACATTTTAAATCCATTGTGGCGCCGCCGCAAGGACTTTACGACTTTCTCTGCTATTTTATTAATGTGCCAGCAAGGCTTTGTGAATGCTTAATCGTCGGCACGAGCTATCATGTATCGGCTCTCTTTAATTATATTCAAAAATATGGAGATTGAGTTTTCGAATTACACTCAAATCGCTTCCTGAAAACCGCCAGCGAAGCGTTTGTTATTCAAGTGTTTTGTTTTGAATCCAAAGTGTTCCCAGTATTTTTGGACCCCAAAAGTGCTGCGCAGAATCCCCGAAAAGGGGGACAGCATCCACAAGTAAACCAACATTAACTTTAGTCCTCCACAGATGGTCGGGAAAAACAGTTCAGCTGCTGGCCCATTTTTTTAAGGTCCTGAAAGCCTACGGACCGAAACGAAAACAACGAGTAGATGAGAAATTAAATTAGGCCCACTGCTGGTTTACAAAGTGGTTTTGCATTCCATTCAATTAATCACATCAACTTTCAGTTTACACACGTCACTCATACGCCGTGTTGTCGGTAGTCAAGAAATAGGTTTTAATTTACTGCCACAATTGATTTTAATTGATCTATGAATTCCCATTTGAAAAACATTTTATCCCTAATTTCACACATGACACGCACAGGAAAAAAAGCCATCTAATTGGTCGTAAATTTTGGTTTTTCATTTCAATGCATTAGGATGTTAAACATAAATGCAAAATCATCGTGTAGAAAAAATCTAGTAAGAAATATATTTTATCACTTTAAAAAAAAAAAAATGTAGATAAAAAAAGGTACATACAATATAATTCAAATTATTTTATCTCAAATAAGAATATTTATAACTTATTAAATTTGTACTTGTTTTAAAATTCGCTTTAAGGTTTGCAGTTTGAAACCAAATACTCTTAACAAAGCGCTTCAATTAAAATAATTTCCACTAACAATACAATGAATATTTTTATTGCGCAGTGCAGTTGCCATTAAACAAAAACGTAATTGTCAGTGGTATTGCAATAAAACTCATTCGCCTGTCAAATGCGTGTGACAGTGCGCAAATTGATAAATTTTCATTTCATTTAATAACCGAATTGATGAACTCTGCCCACACAATAATACA